TCTGCCAACAGCTTAGTTTTACGTATCCTATTTAGTCCACAAATCAAGAAAAAAATTAAATATGATACCGCTTTCTATTGCAACTGAAAACATGTCTTTATAACTATTTAATCGATTTAAATTCAACTAAAGTTTTTATACAGACAGAAAAAAACAAAAGTCCCAAGAAACTTCATATAGCCTTTCTCGAGTGATACATATACAAATTTAAAAGAGAGACAAAAATTCTAACTATTTAGGTAACCTTATAATATGCAAATCCCAAATAACTTCTACACATCGTTGTTAAATCAATTAATATTAATTTTTGACCCTCTTACAATTCCAATATGGTTCTGGATGTCTTATCATATCTAGATAAATTACAAATATTTAATTGTTTTGCTAAAAGGAACATCAAATGGATCTGTTGTAACAGATTTCAAGCCTGCAACAATGTCTTTATTACAGAAACTCATAATGTTACTTTCAAATTATGTAAGATTAAGATCATAATATAATATAAGTAGCAGGTATTTATTTACAAACACTTAATTTAAGTTTAGGTATATAAAATAACAAAAAACATTGGTTGATACATACCTATGCATTTCCATGTAAATAAATACTTTGTCGTATGCAGTGCAATAAATCTTAGTTCGAATTACATTTAAATCTAATTTATGTTTCTTGTATACAAAAAAAATAAAAATCATCATCAACGTGGATTGCTATATTCATTTTTTTTTAGATTAGTTTTCGAAACAGTTTAAAGGCAGATCTAGCTCAACACTGTCCTATAAAATTGTGAATCTTAAAAGTAATCGTGAGATTACTATTAATATTATTACAACGTATAACATAATTCGTCTATGAATAAGAGTTTATGGTCTGTAAAATATTTACTATCATTTTGTCTCTTACAAAACGTATTTTGGGTGCGTAATTAATATTTATATTAATAATCAACAACTGTTTATTGCACAAAAATATATTTATTAAATAATATATTACTTACATATTATAAAAAAATGTTTTTTTTAATTTCAATTACTTGGAAAGTAAGAGCTTTGGTAGGTAGGAGATACTCACTAATGGTAAACACGCAATGATATTATAAGGCTGTTAAGAGGCCTTTATTACATTTTATAACGTTGTAAACCCACCGTAGGATTTTAGGATTAATTTGATTATGGTCAATTATTCACAAAGCGATCGAAGCTCGTTCCGTTTTTTATCCTGCGCTAATAAGCCGAAAAGTATCTAATTTAAACGGCGGTGTCTTTGCTGCCAACAAATTAAACCACTTTAGCGTATCGTTCTGTAAAATAAAATAAATATAAACAATCTATAATTAAATGGTTTTATAACAATTTCATCATATAACTTAAGGTTTTTTTATATAGGTATGTTAGATTGATGTTTGCATACGCAATTTCTGCTGGATTTAATTTAAATAAGTATGTAAGCATCATTTTCAATGTTTATATAAACTTTAAACACGAGTTAATCTTGAGATTACAAAATATTAAATTTAGATAACAAAGGTTCGTGTAACAGTCGGGACGTCGTGCTATCTGCGCGCGCGCCGCAGTAAAAGCTCATTGTAATTCGAGCCTCAAATACGAAATTGAATAATGCTGACCTATCCCGCGACCGCCTCGCTCATAAATCACCAAGATATTTATGTCCCTCAACCCCCGCTCCCCGTCCCACTCTCGGCCGAGGCTTATTCGCATTCGAGAATATAAAATATTAAATAAAAACTTACATAAAAAGGTAAGTAATTCCGATTGGAATCGGAGAAGCCCATGCAATGCGGTCGCGCACCTATTCTGTGGTTTGCAGAGCTAGCCAACAAATCAAAGGCTAAAGTGTTTTTAAAATGAATACACCTTCTATGACCGTCCCACATCACCGCGCTTTTGTAACATTGCAAACAATGTAATATAATTGAAAATTCGAATGGCCATATAATGATAGCTACTGTGGTTTAATGCTTTTAATCATATTTTATCTCTTATACGAGTAGGTATATAAGTATAGTGAAATACTGTTAATTAATACTTAAAACTTATATAAAGAATAAGCCTACTATAAATGTATAGGTAAACTTTATAATATTGTCTAAAAATTCTTAAAACTACCACAACAAAATACGAAAAGTATATTACATGTAAAGAACCACATCCGCGTCAACTTTACTTATATTCTCTCGTATTCATGAGAAATAAATAATACTATTAGAGGAAGATACTGATTCCTGATAAAAAGTGGGCCCGAGTTAAATGGGAGGCACGATAGAGGCAGAATGAAAGTAATGGAGGCACATCGAACCGGTTTGAAGATTTTTACGAATGCAAGGCTGCTTGCCGCTTGCTCAGTCCAGGCTATGTGCTGCCTGCGGCGAGCATATAACATAACCGTCGGCGGATTCGCGCCGGCCCGAACCTTTCTTCTTTCACACGCACACATGCACTTTAAATTGTCTGCTGGGAATACCGATTATTATCATTAAGAAAATTTAACTGGACTCTACGCATAAGCACATTAGGCTAATATAATATTTGCTGTACAAACGGTCTATACGCTTAAACCATTATTTGCACATGACGAACTAAGCAAACCCATCCTTGAGCAACGCGTCAAGAATTTACCATTAAGACAAGCTAATAAAAATATGTATTTTTTTTAACAGCGGGTCGATTTGAATTTGAGCTCATTTAAACCAGAACTTATTTACTAACAGTGCATAATCAATTTGACTTATATTCATCGATCCGCAATTCCGCATAGATTGACATAGCGAACAACAAGCAACTGAAATACTGGCTTCAGTAAACATGTCGCCTTTGATTTAACGTCAATAGTAATAATATTAATAGAATAAATGCTTTTTTGCTTAACTAAAGGATCATATTACGTGTTTCTTAAGTGTTTCAAGTATGATTAAAATATTAAGTGTTCATTATAAAAGTAGATTATTTAGAGCAATATCAACATTGGCAGAATAAAATTTATTGTTTATTTATATATGTAAATATGTATAAAAATATACGTATATACTTAAATAAAATACATATAGTTAAGTACCTACCTACTTTATTCTGTATTGATACCTACCCATAAGCAATACGGCGAATTTTTATCGCATTTTTTTTGGTTTAAGGTTTATTTAGATATGAGCAAATATACATACATATAATATATTCTATATGACCTACATCCTACAGGAAATATTATTGACGTCGATGGTAAATGTTTGTTTGTTTGTCAACAAACTGCTGTTTGTCGAGCCATTAGAGCGAGGCCGCGCTGAAACTCGACAAGAGTTAGATTACGTGCGTATTAACCGATTTAGCTCACGTAAACTCCATGAGTTTCCCTTTGTCCCTCACAGATAAAATTTTAATAGCCTATGATGATTTTTTAATTATGTCCCATAGGACTTACCAATATTTCGACATAAAGTGGTAAGTTGGTATAGTCTTGACGCTTATAGGAGCTGTTTACTGTTCAATATTTTCCTACTAAATGAATGTACTATACCATATGTATATATACTATATGTACGAGTACTTACGATAGGTAGGTAATTTAGATTATATTTAGATTTTATAGCGCATAAATGTAATCCCTTATGGTTTTAAACATTGTAGGCAATCTTTTAATCAATAATCACATGTGTCGGCCAATAGAAGAAAATTATCTATACTAATATTATAAAGAGGTAAAGTTTGTGAGTTTGTGACGTTGTAGGGGGTAATATCTGGATATACTGAACCGATTTAGATGAAATTTGGTAAGAGGATAGTTTGAGTCCCTGGGAAGGACATAGGATGACTTTTTATCTTTTTATCCCGGAAATCATCCCTTTAGGGGGTGTAAACGGGGAAAAAATCCCGAAAAAACCAAATACGAACCCGAGCGAAGCGAGGGTGAGTCGCTAGTGTAAATATAAAAGTAGTGACCATCTAATTTAAAATAGATAAAAATTAATATTTTATCTATTGTAACTAACAGTAAGGAACGAATATTTCCATGATATTTTTAATTAAGTATTTATTTTATTAATGTAGTAATTAATTTTATAGATGTCTTCAATATAACAATTTTTGAGAGAAGCAAATTTAAGAAAAATAATATAACATCAAGGAGGGTGCTCCGAACTATGGTCCGTGAGTGCGCTAATATGATTTACCTACAACAGATCTTGTAGACGCATGATGAAATTGAACTAGGCATATTCATACAAATTATTACGCTACTTACTTTAACCTATACTCGACAATAACTAAAAACTACTCTTCAAAGTCATTTCATCATACATAAATATGAAGTTTTAAATTAATTTTGGTTGAAACTTCATACGAAGATTTAGTAGTAGTAGGTACATAAATATCTATGTTTTCTGAGGATATAAGTCAAAATATGATTTTTTTATTTTATTTTTATAAATTGTAATGAGAAATAATTATTTACGTAATCTAATCCAAAAAACTATGAACGCCTCAAACCAAAAGTACAATACAGTTAGATAACAACAGAAAGGTAGGTTGTATTTACACTTTAACAAAACGCCGTGAATGACAACGCATGACATTGAACACCTTCAACGTTGACTTTATGACGGGTCATATATTTAGCAAAACTGGCATCAATAATGAAAAGAATTCATCATTCATCCATTAGTCACAGAGACTAAATGTTATTTGTCGAAGTCTGTGTAATTGCAGTGCTACAATCGTAACACTCGCTACGAAGCTACCGTAACGCCCGCAATTTGTGTCCATTGTTCCGTCGCCGTTAATATTTACACCAGCGATTGTCCCTACCCGCGCAATGAGCTGTTTTCAAAACAGAAGACACTTCATGAAGACTATTGTATTGGTATAAAACTTTCAACAACCGTGTTGAGTACTAAAAATTTGAACGTAAGAACTGAAAGTACTACAAGTGTCTGTAAAATAGTCGAGTTTAAACGTAACATAAAAAATTACTAATTACAAAAAATTCCTCACCTGCGTCATGAGGCGGTCTGCGCCGGTGCCCTCATCATCCTTAAAATCTATGTCCGGATTATAATTGGGCACTAAGTCTTTGAACTTTTCATCTTCCCTCGTAATGCGACCCTCGGGAGGGCCACTAGCGGATTTCGAGTTTTCACTAATATTGGGATCGTGCTGGTTGAAGACGAGAGGCGTGAGGCGGCGCGGTCCGTGGCGGCGGGTGAAGCCGCGGCCCGGGCCGCATGCCGCCGCCGCACCCAACCACAGTAGCACCAGCGAAAGCCTCATCTCTCGGACATCACTTCACGCGCGTTCGACGCACGACCACCGCGCGCCGCGATTTGAGCGACACTGAGAGCTGTTCTCTGACGGCTTGCAGTGTGCCGAGCCACCACCGGGCCTGCATCCCTTGCAGCCCGCTAGCGAGAGCGACACCGACCACTGCACTCGGCTATTCGGCATTCGCACAACGAGTAACGACCGGGGATCGGCATTCGGCCACGAGCGGGGATGCATTTTGCCGTGGCAACTGACTCCATATGTGGATGTTGATATGTATGGAATACCGGTAATAATTCTTATAACCACATATTAAAACTATTATAAAAGATTTTTAACACCCAAATATCTTCTACATTATGACCATATTTTCAATGGCAAAAATATTAAATTATACGTTTCCTACTCTGCGAACAGTAGGTACACGTGCTTGCTAATAGGTATTTGTTTTTAATCTATACATATAATAAAATTCTAACCAAGCCGAATCTGTACATTAAATATTTTTTGGAAAATCTAATTGAAATAGACATTATTATCGATACAGAGGCCAAATCTACAGTTTTTAGAATTTTGTCTGTCTGTCTGTTACCGCATCACGGAAAAACCACTGGAAGGATTTTGATGAAATTTGGTATGGTGATAGCTGGTTATCCGGGTCAACATATAGGATATTTTTTACCGCGGGAAAATACCTCATTTTAAAAAAAAAAAACAAAAACTGAAATGTAAGTGTATACTAATATGTAAAACCTAAGAATTTGATTTTTGGTCAACTGAACGCGGGCAGAGCCGCGGGTAATGCTAGTATGTTTATATAACGAACACATTAATGTTATTTGTACTTGCGAAAACAATAAATGTATTTTAAATTTTAATATTTATACGTAGCTACATCCACACCTCCCATATTTATTGTTTAGTATGAAAGCGAAAACTACTATATACATAGCAAATACATACCTACCTAGTACATAATATATGACAGTAATAAATAATTTAATTATATTTTTACGGAAATATTTTCCACAATGAACATTTTATTGTGGCTTGTGGTTTCTGTAAGTATAGCAAATTATATTATTGCAATTACATATTTAAATAGAAACGATAGATTTCATAAAGAATATTCTTCCTTCTGATGAACTTTTAATATTATAAACCTTTTAATATTATCTACGAATTCAAAACTTACTTATGTACTAGGTTTCATACAAACTTTCATCCCCTATTTTACCCCTTTATTGTTAATATATGTATTTATTTAATTGTATTGAAGAGCCAAGTACCAAGTTTTAACTAATTCTGATCATAAATATTTTTTGGTTTGATTTATAATGTGTTATCCCATGGGAATGAGATAATCTCCCGCGGTCAAAGTCTATGTCACCCAACTACCTCCACACAAAAAATCACGTCAATCCGTCACTCCGTTACGACGTGAAAGAAAGACAAACAAACAAATAAACGCACTTTCACATTTATAATATTAGTATGGATAGTATGGAAGTATGGATTATAATAACAACTTGAATTTATTGGAATAATATAAATTTAATCTTACAGGGTCGTACAGTACCTAATCTAGAACCTGCTCCGAATGCACTAGTGCAATTTTTTCCTGAAAATACTGAAAACTTAAATGTAACCTATGTACCTAACATATGTTTCATTTATTGCATAATAAAGAAATGAATTTAAGTTATAATTAAGTTTAATTAAGTTATATTCCGTATACACTTTACTATTTTAAATCTAGTAGGCATGGGAATACACCATAACATAGGTACCTGCTACCTACCAGTGGCGAAGGGTGAAATTTTAGCAGAGGTAAGCCTTTCCAATAATATACAATTTTTATATACGTAATAGTGTAGAAATTTGGAAATATATATAATATAACTATTAGCAAAATAATTTTACGGTAAGACGTCTTGTATAGACGTTTCGCCACTGTTACCTACATATGCAGATTTTAGAGCTATTAAAATAAAGTAATTAAATTCTTCTGATCTACGTATTTATTTTGAACTAGCGACTTACCCTAGTTTCGCTCAGGTTCGTCCCTAGGTAGGTAGGTTTTGACGCTTAGCATGGAATAGATTTTTTTGTCAAAAAAACAATTTCGTGAATTTTTCCACGTTGAATACAAATATCGATACCATGTGGAGACATTTAAAAAAAATCTATTAATTATGTTTTTTTATTAAATTTAATTTATACCTTATATCTAATACTTTCTTAGATTTACGCGAATATTTGACATTTTAAATAAAACTATGTTTTCGGATTTTTTTCGCGGATTTATTTTGATTTTTGGTTCCCTTATAACTAGTGTGGAGGTTCAGGGAACCAAAAATCAAAAACAAAATCCGCGAAAAAATCCGCAAAGATAGTTTTATACCTGTCTTCTAATTTTCTTATAATTATAATTCTTATAAAATAAAATTCATTAGTTTCGAATAAATATTCTTCGCCTTAAATTATATAGATAGTACAAAACTACTGCTCATTCATACTTCATACAAAAAATAACTAAAATAATTCAGTCTTGGCATTATTTCTTTTAAGGGTATAATTTGAAAATTCTTTTTTGTATATTCTGGTTAATTTTTACATCGGATAATAAGAAACATTAACGGATATACAAATTAACCAAAATGTATCTATAAAAAAAAATTTTTATATCAAATACCTATATTATGATAAATTCATAAACAGTACAGGTCTTAAAAATATCTTTAAACTAATATTATGTTCATGTCATATTATGCATGTGATATGATGACTGGAATAAAATTATTTTAAAAGCAGCTACTGATGCAATCATAGGTCAAAGTACTCATTTCTTAATATTGAGAAGACAAAGCAACTTTAGCTTCCCTTTCAATTTTGACCCAAAAAGAAATATTTACAGGAAAATTTATATGCACATTTACATAATAAAGAGTGCCCGTTGAGGATAATTTGTACGCAATGCAAAGAGGTTTACACAATAAGAACATAGATCGCATAATCAGATCATATTCATAAACACAAGTTTTCTTTTTGTCTTGTTTACTACATTTACATTTATACAGATACATAAATAAAATTGAAGTGTCTGTTTGTAATGTCAAAATAACAGCTTTTTACTAAATGCATATGAAATAATTTTATACGGTACGTATAAGAAAAAACACAACTTTTAAAAAGTTTGTCTATCCGTCTGTTTGTTCCAGCTAATCCCCGAAACGGCTGGACTGATTTTGACGAGACTTTCACTGGCAGATAGCTAATATCATAAGGAGTAACTTAGGCTATTTTTTTTTAGAAAAAGATTTAGGGTTCCACTGAAAAAAATTAAAACGTACCTAAGGACGTACGTCACTAGTATATTATAAATATAATATGCTAAAATGTTCAAAGTAGTTTGTTTATAGACATTATAATGAAATAACTTATACATTCCAAAAATAATATAAATAATGTGTCCATTTTGCGAATGACATCCAGTTCAATGGTCATATAGTTTCAGAAATTAAACACAGGTTTTTATCAATTAAAAAAGAATATTGAATCTATATTTTATATATAAGTAATTAAATATTTATGACAAGTAAATGCTTTTGCTACTACATCATATCTACATACAACCATATCCCCGAGCGGGGACGGACCCACTACCTCCAGTGTAAGGATAGAAACTTCAAAATTCGATGCCAAGTTCTATCCTCAAATAAAAACTCATGGCAAACTACCAGTACCTATTGTTTATAACTTATAAGTCATTACTTCGCTGATCGAAAAAAGAATATAACAATAATAGTAAGTATGTATATTTTCTCTTATTAATGGTTTTAAATAATTACCTACCAATAATTTTTTCACAATTAGGTACCAACTTTTACGCTGCTTTTATCACCGGTAATAAGTATTAACGACACTTCATCACGCGTACTTGGACTAGCTGCATTTAGCTCAATTTTATTATACGAGTACTAGCCTTTTCCTGCGGCTCCGCCCGCATAGTATACTAATATCATATACTAAAACCTTTTCCAAAACACGCTGCATCTTATGGTATGAGTATTATTCCGATCGGTTCAGTAGTTATCGCAGTATAACCGAACAAAAAAACGGCTCTCCATTTATTAGTATATATAGATGGGTAAATTATCTTTATTTTGAGAAGTATTTTATTAAACTGCAAGTAGGTACTTAGAAGCTGAGAACGATAAATAAAGAGAGCTATTTTCTGGCACGCTTAGTTATGCACCCCAATGTTCTGAATCTTGATTTACTCTTATAACTACATACTACGTAGTAGGACTATGTTTATTACTCGTAACACTTGTTCACAATTTTTCTCGAATAACAAATATTTGTATTTTATTTTAACCTACTTTAAATAGGAGATTCTCGATTTGATTATTTCATAGTCTTCGGAACTTTTTACTCAAGGACGGTGAACACGAGGTGGCTGATGTCCATTATGCCTGTTTATACTACATATATTAGCAGAAAAAGAACATAATTTTTGATTTTATATATTGTAAATTATAATTACGAGTATATTTAAAAAGAGTAATTGTTGAGTTTCTCGCCGGCTCTTCTCAGCAGAACTGCCTTCCGAGCCAGTGGTAGATTCCTCACGGACTGACTAGTGACTACACTGACATTTAATTTATATTTAAAACTAGCAGAACCCGCGGCTTCGCTCGCGCTAAAACTACAAAAAATCTCTAAAAAGATAGTTTCATACAAACTTTCATCCTCTATTTTACCTCCTTAATCCTTATAGAACGAATTTCGAAAAATGCTTAAACACGTATTTATTTAATTTTATTAAAGAGCAATAATACCAAGTGTCAAGTAATTCTGATCATAAATATTTTTTTGGGTTGTATTATAACGTCTTTCCCCGTGGGAAAGAGATAATTTCCCACGGTAAAAAGTAGCCTATGTCACTCTCCAGCCCGCCAACTATCTCCACACAAAAAAATCCGCCAATCCACCAATCCGCCAAGCCGTTTCGATGTGAAAGAAAGACAAACAAACAAACACTTTCACATTTATAATATTAGTATGGATATTATTGTAAAGTTTCATCAAAATCCAATCAGTAGTTTTTGTGTACTAAGCTGTATAAGCTACTATAGTTTTTTGGCTATCCCACGGGAACTCTTTAATTTTCCCGGATGAAAAGCAGCCGATTTGTTATTCTCATGTATGAACTATATTATTGTAAAGATTCATTAAAATCCAATCGGTAGTTTTTGTGGACTAAGCTGTATAAGTTATTATAGTTTTTTAACTATCCCACGGGAACTCTTTAACTTTCCGGAGTGAAAAGTCTAAATGTTGCTCGAGGATAATAGGTACCACCATGCAAAATTTCATCTAAATCGGTCCAATAGATTCGGAGATTAGCCCGTACAAACAGACAAACAGACAGACAAAAAAATTGAAAAAAATGTGGATTTGTTCTATTTGTCTTCCTACATCCCCTGACTTGGTTATTAGCATTTTTTTTACTTCGACCTGTAGAGTTTTATTATATGTATAGATGTAAAATCGATGATTCAAAATTCAAAGTGCTAGTTAAAGTTTATTTGAATAAAGAATATTTTGATTCAGTTTGATTATAATTTATTTTATTAATTATAAGAATTTCATTCTTACATTCTTTGCTTCGGACAAGCAATCGACAAAATCCAGAACAGGCCGTTAGTATATAAAATAGATAGGTAGGTACATAATTCTAGAACAAATCTTCTTGCACAGCAAATGCATGACTAATATTTAACTAAAGATAATTTTTTACACTTCCTTATCGATAATACTCGGAAGTAGTTATACCTCAAGCGCACCGAATATAGGTAAGACCAAACAAAAGCGTGTGAATATTGAATTTTAACGCCTAACCCACAATACCCGACATTGCTAAATCACCGATAAGATAATATTTGCCTGTTTAAACTGAGTTTACTAGCTTTTCAATCGATTCATATAAAAACTTTATTGCCATTTTTTTTAATAATTAAGGGGAACTATAACAATTTAATCTTTACAATAGGTACTACTATTGATCAAATGAGGTAAGTTGTTGATTTAAACATTCCATCATACTTCATATACCATCTCCCCGATAAAAACTACTCATCATGACTACGCAAGACAGTTATGATTCCAATAATTTTAATAAATTTAATATTTTTTTAAATAATAATAGGCGATATCTTAGTTATTTTTGTAATTGGAATTTCCCATAAACACTTTATAATTACACCTGGAACTCTCCACTCGATGGTGTTATTTTCAAATAACTATTTAATTATTTATATATATATATATATATATATATATATATATATATATATATATATATATATAAAATCATACGGTTGTAGGTACACCTACCTAGTAAATAAAGTACCTAAGATGAAACATAGCCATCTCATTCCATTTTCAGATTTACGTCAGACGTTCCTTATTGACTAGAGCGGGCGATACCCACAACCAACATCTTTGTATTTCGCTCGCGAAGATCTGTTGTACCTGTATCAAGAATATTATAGGTTTCCATTAGTAAATATATTATTAGAATAGGTTCAAAGACTTTTCCCTCCATATAAACAAACAAAAAATGTTTACTTCTTTAGGTTTGGCGGTGATCGAAGCTACGACCTAAAATGTAGCTTTTTATCAAGCAAATATGCCAACTGTCTAAGGTGTATAAATGAACAAATAAGAAAGCTATAAATACTAATTAATCATAATAATTTTTACTGATGATTGAGAAATTCGAATTCTATATTCTGATTTACCTGTTAACCCATCGATCATGTTAAATAACACTTGTGTTTCGTCAAGCGGCTTAAAGGCAGCTAAAGCAAACTATACCAAGTAGTGAACGAGTGTCGCGTCGGCACCTCCGTCAGTATGCTTCAAAGCAAATAATATTTTCGACAAAGGACCGGCCGAGGTGTCGGTGGAGGCTAATGGAGGAGAGTGCTGAGCTAATACACCCGCTTTGTAGTGTTTTAAACTGTTTGTTTTACCATAAAACTCTCAACTTAATACATTCAAAAAATATCAAATGGAATAAGGTTTTGTCACGTAATTATATTATTACAAACATTTTATTGATGTACTTATTATGATATAATAAACTTTTAAAGAGTGTGGGCTATAATTTTAACCTGAATCAGTATTCTTTCATTTTAAAATTTATAAGAATTAAATCAACTTTCTTTTTATTTCCTGTACAAAGGTTTCTTGAACCACAAACTCGAATCACATCATCGAAATTCCTCGCATAATTTGGTATCGGCATCGATGCGAAACCGCTGCAATGTTGAGCTTTAATTATACTTTTTTAACTTTCTTTTGTTGCTATCTAAAAAGATTAGATGATAAACGACAATAATAAAAGTATTATATTATAATAAATTACAGCGAATACCTACCGAATGGCAAATTTTTGGTAATGACAGAGAAACGTAAAATTTTCACACCATTTACTAGTGCACATATTTTAACTCATACCTTCGGAAGGAGAATTCCATTAAATTCTATCTAACTATATGAGAAACAACGTATGAAGAAGTCAAACCTGTTTGGCTCACGCTTTGCTCTGTAATTGACAAATTGGAATCTTATTAAGTAAAATTCAAGTTCCTAACTAAACGAGGCGCAGGCGCAAGCAGACGTATAATGTGACGACGAGAAGCCTTCCGATCGGGTACCGATGAATGCCGAGCGTATACGACGACTGTCCAGGCGGCAAGAGTAAAAAGTCGGCAGCATTCGAAGCGCGTGCCTCGATGTGTGTGGTCCGTTCTGGAGGTCCCGAATGGCCTTTTGATATATTGAAATCTGACTTTCGCACTCTTTTTTTTTTTGTTTGCAAACATTTTTAAGCGCGATTAAATTAAAAAGCTCTTTCAAAGTTTCGTTCTTAACTACTTAATAGTGTTGTCTGTAATATTTTTTTATTATAGAATTCGTTTTTTAATATAATTTAACATATACCAAAAATCATAGAAACTACATATATTCAGTATTTTCGTGGTAATAATAAGGGTAGATATTATAACTGCGTCATGTTCATCGAAATCAACTAGTGACTATCTACGCAATTGACAATATACTGGAGCTTTAATATACGAATAATTTTCCAATAAAAATGCTTGAAAAGTCAATTTCAAATCAGTACAATTATTGTATAACTGCTAGTATGCATATTGATGCATAGTAGATAAGTTAACAATATGGAAATGTGATACGTTGCTCTGGAAGTGGTTTTAAATTGCTGAAGTGCAGCATTCGTGAACCCCAGCAGAGAGAACATCTAATCTGTAGTATGTACATTGTAATTCGTATCGCACTCGGCAATGAAGTTGGCACAAAAATGTACGCACTTCGCACAAAGTTCAAAACTTAAATGAAAAGTAAAGTGAGCGCTTTTCTTCTAGTCGCGTACAAAGCAGTTGCAAATGTGCGAGCCGCAGTTGCACGCGAACATAGTGGAGTAGCTTTTACGGGGATATTAAAAAATATTTAATTAAATGAACAAGAATTTATTGTAAACTTATATAAGAATTTAAGCAAGAAACAAAATAGTAATATGTAATTGGAACTACTATAATAATTTATATCTTGATAAATTTTTCATGAATAAAACTTAAAAAACTTATACAGTATCTAATTTACGCATTATCATTATTAAAATTGGTGGAAACATCGCTGTCGGAATTAGGACTCAATTCAGGATACCTAGGAATCAATTCGAAATTATTTAAATCATATTCGTTTTCATTTCCAGTAGTTTTCCACTTCTCTACAATCATTTTCAAAGGTTCCAGGCATTGGATACTTTGCTTTATGCGTAATAATTCAACATTACATTGATTTTCAACTTCTAAAAGTTTTAACTTGTAAGCTTTTGCTAGCATTTGTTTCCGAATAGCATTTTTTTTCTCAATTTGCGCCATATTGAGAGTGTTTTGATATTTTTGTAACTGTTTTTCATATTCTATTAAGTTTTCATCGCATCTAAGCTTATTATGAACTGTAGCTGCAAACATGTTTGGTGTAAACAAGTTTTCCGCTTTCTCATTAGGACAATCATTATTAATATTGTTTATGGTTGACGAAATTTTATTTTGTTGTGGGTTATTAACTTTTATTTCTTTTTCGAGTTTACATTTCTCTTCATCAAGTTCTGATTTTAGAGTTGCAAGTATATTTTTACATTGATCTATTCTTTCTTTCAATTGTAATTTTTTGTCAGCAATAGTTTTTGTGGTAATATCATTATTTTTCCATTCTATTTTTTCAGATGCTTCGGCAGCCTCAGGGATTATTTCCTCAGCCATATTTTGATCTGAACTTAAAGAGTCAGTTTTGTCCACATGCTCTAAAACCCCATTATTGTCTCCTGAATCAAATACCGTTTTATTCATGGTATTAAAATATTAATATTTAATAATTGCGTTAATTTTAAAGTATACTTTTATGAAAATAATGTAAAATTAAAATATGCCAAGGTGACAGAATTGTTATTTCAAATTATTTTTATTAGCAAATGTTGCCTGCCTTAGATTGGTTAGATTCTAAACACTAGTGTTTCGTAGACTGTTTTGAATATCTTAAAATACTCAAAAAAAAAAACAAATTCTTAAATCGATAAACGAATCACATTAAGTCCAATATAACATGCAAGCTCTCGTAGTTTTTTTTTTAGTTTTATATGCAAGCAGGACCATCTAAATAAACTTGAACGATGCGCATGACATAGACTACCTACATGCTGGCTATTGCATGATAAACATAATTTTATTTTTTTATAACGCAACGTGTCTTTGGCATGATATTTACGTATTATTTGATCATTAGCTAAGGTTTTCGGTTTTAAAGCCGTTATATAAAATAATAATAATAGCATTAACATATTATCTATACCTGTAAGAAACTATTAGTTAACCTGTGCCTATACATAGAGTCTTATTCACGTGATATTTTATGGGATACAATTAAAAATATCCAATTAATTTATTTGCTGTCTATATTAGGGTTGCAAGTTATTTGTTATATGTCATATAGTATAAGATATTCAAAATAGTACCTACCTAAACGCAGTGTGCAGAATCGTGCCGCACTACAGCCTACAACGCAAACTACCTATCAGGTTGTAATAGACGGCACAGGAAGGGCTCATCCATGAGCTTATGCTCCAGGTGGAATATTCGTGCATTAAGGACAATTCTCCAGAACAACACAGATTATATAATATATAGACTACACCAGACTAATCGGTTTTTATTGATTCAACTGAAATACAAATTCTTTAGTTGGTATTTTTAAAATAGGTAGGTTTACTTACTCTTTATCAAAAGCACTTATTTCAGCACTTCAGAAAAATAATGTCTCAAAACAGCATTTTGTCAAAGTCTTAAGATGAACTGCCGAAAATAATACAGTGAATACCGAAGACACCGACATCATCATCAGAGTTTGCAACTTTTATGATAATATGCTAATGACGTTTTTAATTTAAAATGAATACAGCTTAGCACGCGCGGATCTAGAGTTCAATTTGAGACATAACATATTACAACTTTTTGCGGTAAAAGAACTGTCTTTTACCGCAAAAAGTAAGATCTAATGTAAAAAACCAAGTCCTACCTACCTATCTATGGTCTCTCCAACAACTTTAACCAACTAATCCAACAATTTTGTCATAAATTTTCACCTAATGGGTTAAATAACAACATTATATAGAGACCGTATCAATATTAGACATCTTTATTTCTTTAATGAATAGAATAACTTAACCATCGCATACGACATTATAATGTAAAAATAATATTTTAATTTTTGGAGCGTTGCGAATCTTGCATTTTTTGTTTTGTCATCTTACGTTTTTGATGGGTTTTCATTTCTTTTTGTGAATAGTTCTCATTTTTTCCTTTTCTGGTACTATTTCTTGTAAATATACTAAACTCATTTTAGCCTGGTATAAAATTGCTAAGATCTCAATCTCATCGCTTGCCTTCGACACGCTGCTCCGACTTATAAGTATATATGTAGTATACTGTATAGGTATTATTAAAGGAGAAATCGTCAGTGGATTACTGTACTACATATCCACTATTTACTTACCTATCCATTTGGGTAGTTTAACTCTCAAAAAATTATATGAATTGCAAAAGTAACTTTAAAATCTCTACACTAACGCATAGTCTATTTATAAAATAACTTATGTAGTTTGTTGTATATCTAGAAAACGGGACTGAAAATGCTGGATGTTTTAGTTTTACTTTGCTTTATAAGCTAAACACTAATTGTATTCAAAATTTGAAGTTTGTGTATCTGTTAGAAGTACCTTAAAATGTTGATGATCGGTAAGTAAGTCAGTGATAAAATTACTTTGACCTGCAAAAGTTCCTAAAGTGCAGGTTCAAATTAAATTTAATTTGGGAATACACCTAATTATATTATGTTCTCTTGATTCAGCCCTTTTTACCGTCCCACTGCTGGGCACAAACCTCCCTTCAATACGAGGGGGATGTCAGAAACATACAATAAACTAGCAGAACCCGCGGCTTCGCTCGCGCTAAAACTACATAAAAAAACTCTTTAGCTTTATGCTATAAGTAATAATTTGATGGCTGTAATGATTTTCAAATGTGTATGATTGTGAATGAGTATGATTTTGACTCGCGCATCAAGGGTTTCGTACCGCCGAATATTGTGCCGTTTTTACTAACATATTATATACACCCAAATATACTTTTTATGATTTCGCAATACATACTTTATTAATTGCAAAAATTTTTCATGTTTCATACTATTTTTTAAATATATTATGGAAAACAAAAATTTTAGTGATCGTAACTCAAAATACCTATCAGAAAATATATTTTATGTATATTCTGTAAATTAATTTTCGTTCGTTCGTTTAAAGTATTTAGCAAGGTCCACTCTTCTGAAAGATTTTTTTTATCTTTATATTATGTTAAATGATAAATTCTAACGTTATAATATCATCAACATGAACCACAATGTCTCGATGGATATTTAGTAAAGATAGACCAGTAAGTTGATCTTCACCCATATTCGTACGTAGCCATGTTTTAAGAAGTCGTCAAGTCAAAAATAACCGTTCTGCTGTTGCTGCACTCGGTTTGGGGGGGGGGGGGGGGGGAGTCATGACCCCAATGACCCCCCCCCCCAATCTCCCCCTTTTTCTTTTAACGCTTGACTTAGCTTTATTTAATTAAGCCAGTGTTTCTTTATCCTGATGATTGATCCTTGTCATTTGCTTAAGACTGAACTATATATAGGTACCCACTGGTGTTGCTAGAACAGAGATAGCTAAATTTATTATTTGTTTCGACTCCATTCCCGTTATGGCGTCAATGCTTTTCTGACCATGGATGACAAATAAAATAGATGAATTAGTTCCATACGAGCTCTTGGTGGATCTATCTATCCTTTTCATTTGCTTGGTAACTAGCATGCTATCTCTACATTTGGCGACAACGAGTGGGACAACAACTTATTTCTGTCGCAGTTACATACGTCACTACTGTGACGTCACTGCAATATTTTGTCATTTTTGAATTTTTTTTAAGTTTTAACCGTTGTTATTACTCTTTTTAGTTTTTTATTAATGTTGTGTAATCATTAAACTATTTTAGAGTAACTCTTTCTGACCAGGTTTCTGTCAATGTAGCTGCAATAAATTCATTAATTTCTGATACTAAGGTAAATAGTACCTCATTTACTGAAATGTTTCAGTAATAATTTTCAGAAAAAGAATTTGCTCCTTGGCAGTCAGCATGCTCAATGGGATTATGTTCATATGTTGTATAAAGTAGATGACCATAAAGGTGCTGCAAGGCTAACAAACTTACTGACAGGCATATTTATCCAAACTCTTTTGTTAAGATGAAGGTAACTATATTGTTAAGTTTAGTAAATTAAGATATTATTATATTACTTTAGATCTTGGATATTATCTTATTTTTAATATGAAATTGTTTTTAAGAAGGAAACTTCTTGAAGCTATTGATATTAATATACTATTTATTATTATACTATTCTATTCTAATATGTAAAATTGAATACTTTGTTTATTGTTTGAATGCACTTATCCATGTAATGCTCAGTCCATTAAAAACAATTTATCAACTCTATAGCCTATTTATTGTATAATGTTAAAAGCTATTTAAGGGCCTAATTGGCTTATCTAACTAGACCCTAATAATAATAAACTATTACTATATTTAAATAAGCTACTATTCATCTATAGTAGTTACTAGTACATATACTATAGTTATGGTATTACATTAATTTATTATAATAATATATTTACAGGTGAAGTATATGCTGCGCAGGTGTTTCAGCAGTTGAAGTGTTTCAACATCTATAAGTCTCCTGATAAAGGCTTTTAGTTTCCAGGAAGAACACAATTATTGTAATACATTAAATGTAAATATTGAGAATGGCTTATTCACAGCTGAGATTATTTTATTCATTAATAATAAAATACATGATCCTTCTAAGAATCTGTCATCTCTAGTATGGTATGCAATTTACATAATTGAAAGACAATTACCAAAGATTTGTAAAGTTTACATATTTCCCGATTTAATAAAAGCATTTGAAAATCTTGATACCTCTTGGTACACTTGTGTAGATCATAGAGAAATATTTTTAAGAGCATACTCATTATATGATATTTAATTGAAGAATGCATAAAGTGGATTCGAGAAAAAAGGGTCTGGAAATAGAAAATTTGCTTAATATGAAAGTTTCAGAAGGGCCTAGCTATGGTTGAACTCATCTAGTCTTCAGAGTAGTGAATGATTTTCCAATATTTTTTCATTATTTAGTTCATTAATTAACTTTTAATATTTATTACTCTTGTTTGTTTCATTTCTTGGTTATTTAAAAGATAATCACTTAGAATTTTCCATTTTCATTATGTTTCTATTAAGTATAAAAATAATGTATGAATATCATTTGATTTCTGTGAAATAATATTATAATTTCTTAAAATATACTACTATAGCAGTATTTTCTGACAAACGTAACAGCCCTCTTTTCGTCGCTTATGATCTTTATAATCTGTGTGAATTCAAACTCTGCATAAACTCTATATCGCAAAATTACCAACATCCTCGCTCTATCAATTTTAATACTAATCCACTCTACTTTCCTCTTTACCATGCCTTGATTTATCCCTTTTCTATATTATGACAGATATTGATATAGTAAGATTTACCGTTGATGTCACCGCATCGTTTCAAACTCTTTCGCATCAAAATTGGTCGTATACTCTTGAATATGTCGTGGCCAGATATCGCATGATGCACCGCAATAACAATCGATATCAATGTATCTAACGGTGGATAATATAACCATTTTACGATATAATCACTAATGTTTGACCATATCATGAAGTAGATAATCGAACCACAAAATATATATACTCGTATATAGACATTTCAAAGCTATCTTACGTTGGCTATGTTGATACAATGCGTTGGATACCCACATTCAAAATTATTTTCTTTTGTTTTGTCTTTCAACTCATGTTTTTGTTTATGGATTAGGTTAGGTTAACAACATTTCCGAACGTGAGGAATCAGAATTATGTCAACGGCCAACTGCCAAACAAAAATTTCAAATATGGATGACAAATAATTTCAAAAGTGACATTTCCTTAAAAAATGTGTATTGCTATATGCTTTTGCCGTCTTGCAAATTTTTAATTTACTACTTACCTTCATAAAGATTTAATAAATTGAGTAGTAGTAACTAATAGTGTAGATAGTGATTGATTATTGTGAAATATGAATGTTATTTTTTAACGGATATATGATATCACAAGTACTTACTGATATCTAGTACTTACGAATACGAAACACTTATGACTTGTATCTGTTACGATAAATATGCCTCACTTCTAATGATAATCTAAGCATTTTAAAATAATTGCGCTTTAGTTTTGATCCCGGTGCAATTATTTGGACCTAGCTACTACAACTAACCTACAGACAATATTTATGTACTTGTTAGTCACTACGATAGTTGAATAAATATAAATCCTATAGTTACATAAAATTCAATAATAAATTATGGGTTTGTTAGAGTTATGCGAGAAGTATTTTAATACCAATAATTTATATGAAGTCTTGGAGATTTCGGAACAAGCTTCTGAAAAAGAAGGTACTGTAAATTTTTTGGAACCACATTAGATTAAACAAAATTATTTTATAATTTTTTGCTATATTTTGCAGTTAAAAAAGCTTATCACAAATTATCTCTGAAAGTACATCCTGATAGAGTTAAAGATGATGAAAAATTGCATGCCACTGAGAAATTTAAAGTGCTTGGTAGTGTTCATGCTATATTAAGTGATAAAGATAAAAGAGAACTTTATGATGCTACCAAAAGTGTTGATGAGGAGGAATACAACATACTGAAAGATAAAGACTGGACTGTGTACTGGAGATTGCTCTTTAAGAAAATTACCGAAGAAGATATTAAAGCATATGAAAAGGAATATATTGGTATGTTTTTATATCAAAACAAGAAACGTCTGACTGTAAAATAAATGTGTTGGTACCAATTTACTTAAGTTTAACTAATTTGTATTTAATATTACATTGTAAATAAATTTAATATTTAAACCAGTCTTTTCTACTCGAGTTATTGATCATTCAATAGCAACTCTCTTTGAGAAGGCCATTGATCTCTTTTGCATCAATTTCTTTGAACTAAAATTGAATACTTATATAGAAGATCTGTCTTACAATATATGCTTTATTATAGGGGTTACAGAGTTAAAGGTGCAAGTACAAATATTTTTTAAAATATCTTGCCCTTTTAACATCAGAAAAAAGCCTAGCCTCAGTGTGAGGGGTCAGACTTAGTCTACCTTTTTGACCAAATAGGATTTGTTAGTACTTAGGAGTTATGACTTCTTTTTTTTTGTTCATAAAATGTATTCCTTTACTAGATTAGCAAGTGGCAATCAAAAAGGAAATAATTTTTACAGGTTCTAATGAAGAAAAAAATGATTTGAAAAATGCTTACTTAGCTGGAAAGGGTGATATGGATTACATTGTAGATCAAGTACAATTTGCCAGATCAGAACATGAGCCAAGAATACGAGGCATTCTTACTGTAAGTCAAAAGTTATATTATGAAACTTATAGCTAAAAACTTATAAAAACATTAAAATTTTTGTATACAAAGTTACAGCATAGACCTGTAGTATAAAGTTATGTATTAGATTTAATATAGATACATATAAGCCTGCAAAAATTATTAGCCATAAAATCAAAAATATGTCAAGGCCATACATTTTATTAAAATTGATTTATAAATTTAAATAAATCACATATCTTCATGAATTGTATTAATTATAGAAATAACTAACACGGAATGTATTGTTAGTAAATATATTTTAGGAAATGATAGAACAGGGGGAAATACCATCATACAAAATATTTACTAATGAGCCAGCAAGAAAAAGGCAGCGTCGGCATGCTAAAGAAAATCGCGAAGCAAAAGAAGCAGAGGAACTTAAAAAATCTTTGGGTCTATCTACAGGTTTGCATTATTTTTTAACTTTTAAGTTCAAATTTTTTGGCAAAATAATCTCTTTTTAATCTTCAAATGCCATAGTGAAGATATGAATTAAGATATCATCAGGCATGTTAATATTGAATGTTAATCATTTACTGCCTTAAAAAAAATCTGCATCAGCTAGCATGTGGTTTAATCTATATAAATAAAAATCAATCACCAAAATGTATGTAAAATGTATGCGCATAACTTCCGATCAACTGTACCAAATTGGATAGTTTTTTTATTTGTATATTATTGTCAGAATTGAACAGAAGAAAATGAAAAGAATTTTTTTTTACTAAAATAAGATTTTTTTAAATCTCATGATATGAAAAGTGAGTGAGTGAAATAGTTTCTATCCAAGAAATCATCACTTAAGGGAGTGAGAATGGGGATGAAAGTTTGTGTGGGGAAGCAAGCTAGGGACGAACCCGAGCGAAGCGAGGGTGAGTCTCTAGTAATAACATAACTTTCAGAAATCGAATTTTTAAATTTTAGGTGAAGATAGTTTAGAACTTATGATAAAACAAAACCAACAAGCTAGAGCTAACCAGATGAACTCATTCATTGATGACTTAGCAATTAAGTATGGTGGACAATCTTCAGCCAGAAAAAGAAAAGCTCCTGTTGAGTCAACCAAAAATAAAAGGAAGAAGTAATACAGCTATGTTCTACAAAAATATAATAATGTGTTTTTAATGGTTCAAAATAAATAAAAAAATGCTATTTTAAAGACATGTTTATTCTCCTTCCATGGCAACTTGAGTTACTATTTCTGTGTAGAAGGGACCCTGTTCAACATATTTCTGTAGCCTTGAGATGATATTTTCGTCAAACGCTGCAGACTGTGATAGTTGTTTAATAATATCATATTTTGCTTCTTTTGATTCTTTTGTAAAATCAACAGAGCGATCCAGAAGATACTCAATAAACCCTGTAACAAAATATGCCATGTCAGTATGATAACTTATTTCTAAAAAACCCAAGTGAATAGAAATATAAGAAATGGATTTTATATTTTTTAATAAACTTAAGCCATTTAATTCAAGACCAATTTATGTATTACATTCTTTTCACTTTTCATTTTTTCATTAACAACATATTCTTACTCTAACACAAAAAAATGCAGTTTAAAATGTTGCACTTCCATCTGACTAGTAAAAACAATAAAAAATTACCCATTGTTCTGCTACTTTTGGCACTATAGGCATTTTCAATTGACATTCCTAATAAAATAATGTAAAATATGTACCTGCTACTCTGGATACCATCTCTTCACCCCATTGATGTTGGCACACAGCATCAAGTAATGTCAAACCGGCCAATTGTATATCAGGAAATGGATTTTTACAAATATTAAAAAGTACATCCATAGGCCCAGGTTGCTGACTTAAAGTTCTGAACCATTCTCGAGTCATTAATGTGACTCGTTGATCTATTGGCTCAACTTTTGAGTTAGGGTCCTTATTGATGCCAATCAGACTGGCCATACAATATAATGCACGAACTTTTATTTCTGTTGGGCTATTTTTTATTAATAAGCACAATTTTTCAACATTTTGTGTATACTTGCTTCCTATAGAAAAAAATTATACATTTATCAGACAATATACAATTTATTATCCATTACAGTTTTTGCATCATTATCATCTGTAGTAATCTATCCATATTAATATTATAAAATGTGACATTTTGTGAGTATGTCTGGATGTTTGTTACTCTTTCACGCCAGAACGGCTGTACGGATCTGGATGAAATTTGACACAAATATAGATTATAGTCTGGAATAACACATAGGCTACTTTTTATCCTGGAAAAATATACAGTTCCTGTGGGATAATTTTTTTGTTTTTCTAGAGGTGAACCCGAGCAAAGCAAGTGTGAGCCAGTAGTAGATCATATTTTATTGACAGCAATTTAGAATAACAGTATCATAAAGCAAAAAAAAATTGATCTCTTCTAAATACTGGTGGTGGACACTTGTTAGTACTATATAAATTGGGAAGGGACAATATGCATTCAATTTATAAAAGAGATTTATAAAGATTTTCAAAGAAAAAATAATTTAAAATATCTTTATCTAAAAAAATTAAAAACTACTAAAAGTTCATTTAACACCAAGGGATTTAAATTCTTTTTATGAGAAAAAAATCAAATCCAAATTTAGGGCAAAGTATTATTATTTTGGTGTAATAGAGCAGCTAGGCATGAAAAGTTATTATTATTGATATTTACCTAATGCCATTAAGCACATTTTTCCCTCTATAGTTGTACCAATAAAACCAAGTGTGTCAAGAGCTACAGGTAATATTGTAGTGTCGTCAGAGCTCATTGCATCAAAAAGTGATTCCAACAATATTGGATATTTCTGGAAGATCTCCTTTGGATAGTAGTGGGCAATGGATCCAAAGAACTTCATATATCCTACAGTACAAGTATTGAAACAAAATTCAGTATTAATATAAGGATTTAAAATCTATATATATGATGATGTTCTCCTGACCGATTCCGGCCACAGCGGCCAATCTCATTGAGACTAGCCAACTGCGCGCAGGAGATATTATAGTGCACAAGTATACGCGCAGACACAACGTGCACTCTCTATTCCTGTCACTCTCATACTCTGGTGGGACGACCGCTCGACACGACCAGTGAGAGTTAAGGCGCAGGACCGACAGCTTTACGTGCTCTCCGAGGCACATGGGTGAAACACCGCCAACTTCCCAACTCCGGGCTGTTACTGAAGCTTACTATACAGAAATAATACTTTCTTAGATTTACGCGAATATTTGACATTTTAAATAAAACTATCTTTTCGGATTTTGTCGCGGATTTATTTGCATTTTTGTTCCCGACGTTTCGAATGCATGGATGCTGTAAAGCATTCGAAACGTCGGGAAACAAAAATGCAAATAAATCCGCGACAAAATCCGAAAAGATAGTTTTATTTAAAATATACAGAAATACTCAAAAACTACACTTGGCCCGACCTGGGACTCGAACCCAGGACCTCCAGGTGTGCAGCCGTACATCCTAGTCACTACACCACCGAGGCAGTTGCATGCAATTCCATATGCTGCATATGGAATTATATACGGTATTTATAAGAAAAACACAATTTTTTACATTTTTGTCGGTCTGTCTGTTTATTCCGGCTAATCTCCGAAACGGCTAGACCGATTTTGACGGGACTTTCACTAGCAGATAGTTGATTTTATAAGGAGTAACTTAGGCTACTTATATTTCTGTAAAAGAATTAGGGTTCTGGTCAAAAAATTTAAAATGTACCTAAGGACCAAACCAAGCAAAGCGAAATAATTTAATGCAAGAAGCACTAAATAAGGTAATTTATGAGATTTTGTTACCTTTTATAAATATAGATCTTATTCTTTATTGTTACTAGAACTTAGAAGTTTACCTGGTATAAGAAGACCTCCAAAAGGATTGTTATGTATATCCCGGACTAATTCTGATATTTTTTGAAAGGTTCCTTGTTTAACAAGATGATTTATTCCATGTGGTGTTATGGCTAACTGGGTCAGCAATTCTAAGATATTCAATTGATATAATATATCATTTGAGTGTAGTTCATTCACCATAAATTCAATGTATCCTTCATTAACAGATAAGTTAAATAATTCATAGGATTTTGATGAGATGTTTATGATAACCTAGAAAAAGAAAAATATAAAATATTTAAAATACATAATTAGTTTAGGAATGGTACTCATGATTATTATTGTAATATCCTTATGTATATAACATTGTGAAATAAGATAAATCCTTAGATACCTATTACTGGCAAAAAATTGTTGTTAATATGTACCTCGTATGCATTACATTTACTGCTACTGGTAGATTCTAAGGCTATTTTCATTTCTTCCAAAACCTTAGGATATGCTTCAGTGGGTAAGTTAGATGTTATTAGAACGGCTTTATTTGCAATGCCTACATCATTATCACACACTGTTTGAGCTACTGCCACATAGACATCTATGTATTTTGGGAGAGGTAACATAACTCCTGATGTTACAGTTTTACAAATCTGAAACATAATATGAATATATTCAATATTGTAATTTGATTAATTTTATTATCAGCTTTAATTTTTTTTTATTTCAAGATCATAAAAACTTACCCCATCAATAACCATTCTTCGAACGCAATCATGTTCATGCCGTAACAAATACATAATATTAGCTGTATACATTTTTATAATATCTACTGTTTCAAATTTTTCAAAACATGCCTTAAGTACTTCACAAGTTAGCTCAATTTGTAGCCTTGAATACAAAAACAATGTAATTGCATTAGTATCAATTGAACCACAATGGAACTTTAGGAATGCCATCAGAATATTCATATAAGGGAAAATCAAATGTCACTTAGGTAAAAAAATGAAATTAAACTCTTAAATGTAACATACTTATCAGATAATTCAAGACAATTAAGTATTTTACTTATGCCAACATTTTGAACAATGGAAATATTGTCAACAGTCACTTCGAAAACCAAGAAGTTCTTCAAATCATTTAATGCATCAGATCTTAATTCTTCATTTTGAAGTTTCTCAATAAGAGCTTTATAATGTTCCAGTTTATTTGACATCTTTTCTGTTTGTTATTATGATATATATTAAAATATTACTATAGATTTTTCAAATAGTTAATATTTGAAGAAAATATTTATTATTTTCTTTCAATTATTTACATACGATCTATCACATAGGTACACAAATAAAAATGACACATGAGTATCATGATTTGAATTTGACAAGTGACAACTACATACTAGCAAGTAGTAACCATGGACGTGCTAGTAACTATTGAGAATTGTTAAATATATTAGTGATGTTTAATAATGAACGTACTTATCGACATTTGTCCTGTTTTCCAATGAGGATCAGTACAGTTATAGCAAATTCCATAGAACTAGTATCCACGTTATTTTATAAGACATAAGAATGATTATCTTTTTGAATTATCTAAATCGGACCATAACTTACGAAGATATAAAGTAATAAACATTACGCCGTTTCTGCCGGCAAAATCCATGTACGCGGGTGCGTGTGACGTCACTGTGACGGTCCGAACGTAGCCGGCCCACCGCCCGGGCCTCTTACTTCACAATTCGATCATAGAGTATATTGCTACATATATAAAATTCGATGGAGCAGAGCGCGACGCAGGTGGCAAATATATTTAGTAATTACTTATTTTGTGTTTTTTCAAGTGTGTTTGTGATTTTTAAATATATTTAGAAAGTATCTACATCTATAAATATAATAAAATTCTAAGTCGAATCTGTACATTAAATATTTTTTGGAAAATCTTATTGAAATAGACATTATTATCAATGCAGAGGCCGAATCCATAGTTTTTAGAATTTTTGTCTGTCTGTCTGTTACCGCATCACGGAAAACTACTGGACGGATTTTGATGACATTTGGTATGATGATAGCTGGTTATCCGGGTCAACATATAGGATTTAAAGTTATATATGTGTAGTGTATCAACTATCTGGTATCCATAACACAAGCCTCGTAGCTTATCATGGAACTAGATGGCGCTGTGTGTTAATGTCCCAACATATATATTTATTTATTTAATATTGCAAGTTTCATCGAAATCGTTAGAGCCATTTTCGAAAACGTAATTAGAAATATACATAGTATATATATTATATACATACATATATACAAATTTTGCTCGTTTAATAGTATAAGATTATATATAAATAGTGACTATCCATTGGAGTTAGTTCTGCAACTTGATGGTCGTGAACTTATTGTAGAAAATTTTAATTAATTATTATCAAAAGTACAACAACTGTAATATTGTAATATATATTAATATGATCTTATTTTCACACAGAATACATAAAAAAATTACACAAAAGATTTTTTAGCTCGCCAATCCAAGAATTCATCGATGTCTACTTCATTATCTGATTCATTATCATCTTCCTTGTCCAACATTTCTACATCCTGTATTTTCTTTTTTGTTTCTTCTTTTTTAAGTTCCAAATCTAGAACTCTGTAAAATAAAACGTTTGCTTTAATGTTACGTTATTTATTAGTACTTAAAAAGCTAGTTAGGCGTTTAATTGCTTAGATGAGGAGAAAAATGAAAAATAGAGAGAATAATTATAGATAGAAAGGAAAATAACCTAAAATTATTATCATTAAAAAATATCAATTTCACGTAGCTTGAGAAACTTTATATTTCATACTAAAACGTCAGCTAATACAGTTGCTACACATTAATTTATAATTATTATTTTATTACCTAGACCAATTTCGTATTTGTTCGTCTATTTCGTCGATTTGTCGTTCGGCAGTAGCTTCTTCTTGTTCACCAGCAATTATTTCCGCTGATGTAGAAGTTTCTTCTTTAATCTCTTTTTGGAATTTTTCCCATTCTTCCTCCACTGGATCTTTATATTCAATGTTCCTGACCTAATTAAATTGCTTATTAATTGGTATGTAATTAATAAAATCTGGTGTAATATAAACTGTAATGTATAACAATGTTAAAAATAACATAATAATTGCAAGATGATTTTTCCCAATCAAAGTTAAGGATTTAACGTCGGAAAGAAAGTTGATAAGTTATTAACCTGTACAAATAACTTCTTCGCTTGCTTGAAAAACTAAATAATGCGGGTTCTAACCCGGATCTCATATAGAATATTTTTAACACAATAAGTACATGGTGTTTAACATGATAATAACACAACCGCAAGGAAGCCTGCATATCTGACAGAATCTAATTATAGACGTTAATTCCAATAACCTGCACTGGGCCAAGATGATGGACTTTAGCTTGGTACATGGTATTCTTCGTTAATTTATTAAAAATTGGAAACATAAGAAAATATCAGATTTTTAACTAAAAAATCCATTTTAGGTCTCATTCTTTACATAATTCGTTGGCTTACTATTACAAGGTTCTATGTTAATTTTAATGAAGTTTAGTCACTTAAACGTAGAACTTCGTTAATTTGTTATCGTAAAAAAAACAACATAGAACTATGTAAAATTGAATACTTTGTAGTTACAGTGCCGCTATCTAGTGATTTGTTTTTGCAAAACTGTAGCTAATGACACATAGAACCTTGTAGCATTAATAACTAAATAAGTACTAAAATTGTAACATAGAACCTTGTAATAGTGAGCCAACGAATTATAGTAGTAGTATTCCGCCCTTTTTAACGCCCTACTGCTAGGCACGGGCCTTCCTTCAATACGAGGGGAATCAGGCCATTGTCCACCATGCTGACCAAGTGCGGGTTGGCAGAATTACTAGGTTCTCTTAGACGATGATGTTGAATTCCTCATGATGTTTTCTTTCACTGTAAGACAAGTGATAATCATGTTGGAAATGATCCGCATATGAAAATATCAGAGGTGCGATTTTACATTTTCAAATCCTAAAAAGTTGAAATCCCGGACACTCGGGATTTGAACCCTCTCCACTCGGTTTCCCTACTGAGCACGTTATCACTGGACGTGATCGTGTATTGAGATACTCCAAGCCGCTTCAGAATGAAGTAGTAACAAACATGCACACATAGATACAAACTTTCGCATTGATACTAGTAGTCGGAATAGAATTTCCTAAAGCTTACATTAACCCTAAATAGTATTTTATAGTCTTTTATAAAAGGTGAAAAAAGGTTATAATCTATTAAAACTAAGAGATACATTTTTCCGTTTCGCAAGTTTTACTAAGAAATAACTTTGTTCAAACGTGTACCCATGTTTTCAATTAATGACTCCTAAAATTAAAAAAAAATATTCTCTACTCATAAAACTAATTAAAAACAAAATATCTTAAAATGTAAATTAGTTGAGGATAAGACAATGTTAGGGCAAAAACTTTTATAATTTTAGTTATAATTGAACATGTAAAATTATTTATTAAATTTTTGCTATTATTTTTATAATTATAACAATTTAAGCCATATAATTGTTCTATGTATGTAGTTTGCTATTATTTAAAAACAACTTACTAAGCAACACTATTAATATATACTTTTACAAATGAAAAATATTAATCTGATAAGCTGTCATTTTGATCTACACAGTATGAACTTACTACATCTGCCTGTCTGTTATGTTTATATTTATTATTTGATTTTATTATATTAATAACAGGATCCCATGACGATGGTAAATTAAATCTAAGAAAGTATTAAGATAGTTTTATTTAATAATGTCAAACATTCGCGTAAATCTAAGAAAGTATTATAAAATCTGATGTTTTCGCTACCGATTATTTTAGCTACATCTTTAGACAAGTCAATCTGAGAGCTGCCAAAGTGATTTTTTAGATTTGATAGACTCTTCGGTAGTTTTCCAATTGCAGCACTAAAGCACATTATGCGGCATAATGGTCAACCTCGATGTTTCAAATACAGCCATGCTCCGCACAATCTAGCATTTTGAAGAGTACTACGTTGACGTGATGCGCGCTGCGGATACCAACTCAGTAGCAGAAAATATAAGTATTTTTTCTTCAAGGTAGCATTGATCAATATTTTATTTATATTATCGTTAATAATATTTATTTATATTATTATACATTTATTAGATATATTTTTTCTATCAACACTGAAACTAGTGCACTCTGCTGGTGCACTTGAAAACTAATTCACTTTTCAATGAAGCATAAGCACACTTCGGCATTCTGCGCCAAAGTGCGGCATTACGCTCTGTAATTGGAAAACTACCATAATAGATCGATATATTGCGTCCATCCCTACTCTGTCACCTTTGCACTGACAAGTGTCATTATTGTTGTTTAACAAATTCCAATTTTCAATAACAAAAATAGGTACTTACTTTTCGGTTATTATCACTTGCTAAACAGTAAACAAGATTATAGCATGATTTGCAAAAAATACTAAAGCATAGTAGGTATAATATGGTTTTAAATCTCACAAGAAGGGAAGTATTAAGAAATTGTTTTTACTCGTATAGTCAGTTGTGTAAGTTGACAAAAATGGAGCAATCTAAAATGTTAAAATTAGTTAAAGACTGTATTCCGGCTTTGGATGGCAATCATCATAAAGGTCAGGCTGGAAGAATCGGCGTAGTTGGTGGCTCCTTAGAATACACCGGCGCGCCTTACTTTGCCGGTATCAGCTCTTTAAAAGTTTGTATTTTTTGACTGTTCAATTTTTATGTTACAAAAAACTTCATTATTTTATTCAATATGCAATTTAAATTAAGGAATGTGGGCCATAAATTCTATAGATCTTGATATTGTAAATCCGAGGGTTTTGGAATTATACTTCTTTTGACATGTTTGGAAAAAATTATGAGTACTTTTTTTAAATTTGTTAAATACTTCTTTCACAGGTTGGGGCTGATTTGGCACACATATTTTGTTCCAAACCTGCTGCAATTGTTATTAAATCATACAGCCCAGAATTAATAGTGCACCCATTACTTGATGAACCCAATGCAATAGTTAACATATCTCCTTGGTTAGAAAGGCTTCATGTTATTGTTATAGGCCCTGGTTTAGGTAGAGATAAAATAACTTTTGAAGTTGTTGAGCAGTTAATAAAAGTAATTAGAGAAAAACAAATACCATTAATCATTGATGCAGATGGCTTATTTTTAATCACTGAAAAACCAGAACTTATCAGTAATTTTATGTCACCAGTAGTATTAACTCCCAATAAAATTGAATTTGAACGACTATGTAATAAATTAAATGGTTATTCAGGACTAAAAAGCCTAGGACTGAATATAACTATTTTAAAAAAAGGTCAAACTGATGAATTATATTCTTCTGAATCCAACCTGCAATGGAAGCTTAATATAGGTGGTTCTGGAAGAAGATGTGGAGGTCAAGGTGATCTCTTATCAGGATCAATAGCAACATTTCTACATTGGACTTTAACATCAGTGGACAAAATAGATTTTAACGCATCAAACAAATCATTGTTAGCAGCTTCATTGTCATGTTTTGCAGCATCAACATTAATTAGATCATGCAATGCTAAAGCTTTTGAAAAAAAAGGTAGGAGCATGTTAGCCTCAGATATGATTGAACATATACACGATGGATTTATAGAATTATTTGGACAATAAATTTTGTTTTTTTTTTTTTTAAATTATAAGTAAATGAAGAAACACTAAATTATTGTTTTATAAACCACAGGAGACTTTTTACAATTTAAATAACATGTATAGCCAAATAATATTTTTTAAAGAAACAGGTCAGATTAGTTTTATAATGGGTGTGAATAAGCATAATATGTAATATTGGTTTGCTACTGTATTTTACATAGGTGTAGGTGTATGATTGAATAAATGAAGGCATAAATAATAATTTGTTTTTCTTTTGGTATCATTGCAGTAAAAATACCCCTATTTTCACATAAATAAGTGTGAAATATTTTAGTTGCTTACTATTATGGTATTTATATTATAAACAAACTAGTGACTTGCCTTTGCATCTAAAATAGGGTCATCAAAAAATCCTTCAGGGATGGGCTGCTCATTTAATTGCTTGTTATTCTCAGATTTCTGTTGCTGATTTTCAACTTGTTTTTCTTCTTCAATTGCTCCTAGGAAATAAAAGAAGCATAAAGTCATAAGAAAAGGTAAAAAAAATAGTATGGTATATAGGACACTCACCGATTGTGATGGTCTACCTCTTTGGGCCCGCATTAACAGCAACTTGGTCGAGTGTTTTATTGGGGAAGGTTCCACTGGGTTTAAGAGGGTAGACGGTAATAATTGGTTTTTCTAGGTGGTGACTTCCACATAACCACTTGTAGTTATGCAGGTGGCATGTGTATTCCCCAATGTTAAAAAAAGAATATAGAATACTCTCAGAGGCAGAAAATGAAGGAAGAATGTATTGATAGAAAACATCAAAAAAAAGTCGAGACATGTTGAGATAGCCATTAAGAACGAAATTCCTTCACTTTCATGTGCCCTTGGTTCATAAATTAGGTCATAAAAATTGTCACAAGTACTAGGGTATCATAGATTGATAGCAATGTACATTATATGTTGAAGCTCATCAAAGAATACCTGCACAGAGTGCACAATTTTTTTTAACAACATACATTCCTTAACATTTATGATTGCCTGGTATTTATGATGTCACATTATGGACTGCCCTATATTAACATTTGGTGACAATAATGCTACAAGTACTAGGGGATCACAAACCTTAAGGAATGTCCAATACATAGGACCACATCATCATAGTGCATACAAACAACTTACTACATACATTCCTTAACACAATATGATTGCCTGATACTTATGATGAAGTCACATAGAGTGCTCTTATTAATAATAAAAAGTGTTGTGATGGTCGAAATATTACATGTTTTCTGTCTAGCTCTCATCTGGTGTTGAGTATAACTTGTGATAAAGAACTTCTTTGAAAAAATTACACAATACAGTGTCATGTTTCGGAAATACTTGTGAGGTAAAGATCATGTTTATGTTATATATTATTATTATTAGTGTTGGGTGTGGTGCCGAGGTCGGCCCTAGCTACGTCGACCAGTTTTGGTCCATTGTAGCTCATGTTATATATAGTATTGAAGCAATATTTCCAGTTTAAGTATTTATAGAACTAGTTTTTTGGATTACTAGCAACTTAACCTTGCTTTGCTTGGGTGCATCCCTGGATACATTTTATATAGATATAAATAATTATTGCGAGTGTACCTAAAGAGATAGACATATGATATTGCAGACTGTAGGCCACCCAAATAACAAAGGCAACTCAACTGCCGATAACCTAGCCAAACAGGCCTCTAGTCTAAATGTATGAATGTAGTGCACTGGAACAATTACGCGAAGAAAAACTCAGCCCCCATAGATCGATCCCAGAAATCATCCAGGACACCGGCAGCCTGTTAGACTACTGGGGCGCTCTGGGATGGAAAGAATAACACACACAGCAGCACAAGCTCACGCACAACGGACAAAGATGCCTAAGTGCGGAAAAAGCCGTGTCTGAAGAAGAAGCCTAGGCCTTTTTAAGACCTACAATAATTTTCTAGTATATTGTTTTGATGTATCTCTTAAGGTTTAGCCAGCATTAGCCATTTACATTTCTAATGAATTCTGGATAGATCAATTATTGTTTTCCCATGGGAATGAAAGATTTTCCTGTAGTAAAATGTGTCCTGTGTTCACTTGACTATTGAGTTATCACTACACAAAATTTAATAAAAATTGATTCAGTAATTTTTACATGAAACATTGAAAAAAAAATAATTTATATGACATTGTTCAAACCCATTTACCGAATATTAAATCCTCTACATATAATCTATGTGTGACTATGAATATGAAAATTCTAGTCGTAAATGACTTGAATTAGGAATCTAAATAATTTTATACATAATGTGCTTTTAATTAAATAAAAATATATTAAATACAATACCTTCTTGGGATGTAGGTATTAATATTTTTCTAACAATCTTATCATCATGATGAGAAAAAATTATAGGTGCATTATTTTTAGTCACAGGTGTTTGTGTTGATAGTTTATCATTTGAATTTTTTAAAATTCCCTTGGGTTTTTTTTGTTCTGGGCCACCTTCTAGTGGTATTCCAGATCTTTTTATCTTAATTTTGTCATTTGTAAAATTATTTGTTAATTCCTTCAATTTTTTTGCTTGTTCAACATTTTGTCTGTGCTGTTTACTATTTATATGAACTTGCCATACGTTTTCAGAGCGTACAATAGATGAACATAGAATGCAAGTTAGTTGTCCAGAACTGTTATACTTTGCAAGCGGGTTATCTATACCAATAGGTTTTTTGCTTTTATTCTTTCGCTCTGCCATTAATCGCCGCATTTCATCTTGGGCTTTTTTCTTCTCAATTTGCATTCGAAGAGACATATTTTATAGTTTTTATGTGTCCAATATGACTTAAAATAAAAATTGATAAAGGCGTCTTTAAAATTCAATTAGAAAAATTTTGTAATAAAATGGAGTTTTTACAAAATATGTACAAATAAATTTAATGAATTAACCATCTATATTAAAAAGATAACTGCGGACACAACACATAAACTTGTTTTGACTTTTCCTGACTTTCATTCCAATTGCCATTTTTGTCACATGACATTATATCATTTTGCTTGTCAAATCACAAATGTCAACATAAATTTAACACAGATCATATATAGACTAAAAGGCAATCGGATTATAAAATATAAAGGCCTGAGTCACGAATTTTACACCCTGGTCTTGTCTATTATCTAAATTTATCGATTATTTATCGATCTATTATAAAACCACAATTTACATAAGATTTTACAATAAAGACCTGCCAAACCATGGTATAGGTTGACCATTTAATTAAGGCTAATGGATATTATATAATAATATACTTAGAGTATAGCTATAAAGCGCGCGTATCGCTCATTGTTCATTAAGCGAATCGTAAGCCTAAGCAGATGTTTTATACACACCTATTGAAACATACTTATAGATGAAGCGGTTAAATAGTGATGCGACTAGTAAAACTTTTAGAATTTAATTAAAAAAGGAGCACCTATATAATCATAAACTATTTAACATAACCATTTATTCACGCACGTATAGACTTTATTATCTAAAATTACAGTATTTCAAATTAATATCTTTCATTCGTAAATCTATGTAGTAATAGTGTTGCTTCATATTTTGAATTTTTTAATAATAGTAAATTAAATTAAAATTATATATTATTCTCTTTAACTTTTCGTGTTCCATAATTATATAGTAATTACATACACTACGGGACTTAAACGCAAATTACGGGAATTAAAGGTGAATTCACGCGTTTAAATCCCGTAATGTAATTATTGTATAATTATTATTCTTAATTAATTTTAAGATTTTAATTTTTGTAGATTTCACATAGAACAATAATGTGGCTTGAATAATTCTTTTTTTTATGTTTATAAATATATAATGACAACACTACAATAAGATGACTAATTAATAAAGTTTTCCAAAAGTATTGAAATAATTATATTTATTATTTTAATCATCTATATCGCTAATCTATACATATTACATATAGTAAAATCTTAACTTAACTAACTAAGCCAAATCTGTACATTAAATATTTTTTGGAAAATCTTATTGAAATAGACTTTATTATCGATACGGAGGCTGAATCTATAGTTTTTAGAAGTTTAGTCTGTTTGTCTGTTACCGCATCGCGGAAAAACCACTGGAGGGATTTTGATGAAATTTGGTATGATGATAGCTGGTTATCCGGGTCAACATATAGGATACTTTTTACTTCGGGAAAATATCTCATTTCTGAGAAAAAATACCGAATCTATAGTTTTCAGAATTTTTGTCTGTCTGTCTGTCTGTCTGTCTGTCTGTCTGTCTGTATGTCTGTCTGTCTGCCTGTCTGTCTGTCTGTCTGTCTGTCTGTCTGTTACCGCATCACAGAAAAACTACTACTAATAGCTGGTTATCCGGGTCAACATATAGGATACATTTTACTGCGGGAAAATGTCTCATTTCTGAGAAAAAATACAAAAACTGCAATTTAAGAGTATACTAATATGTAAATCCTAAGAATTTAGTTTTTGGTCATCTGAACGCGGGCAGAGCCGCGGGCAATGCTAGTTATTAAAATGGTTCATAGTGGCCTCGCTTTTCGCAAATTTTCATTATTTATTGAAATAAAGTCAAAATTCAGAAGCAAGTTTTTTATAGAATGGATTTAAATAACACTAAGCAAACGAAATGAAAAATATATAATAATATCAAACATATAGTGGTTGAGTTTATAACGGCCTTGGAATTTAATTTGATATGTATTGGATTTCTTAAAAATCTTAAAAACTATTAAAAACGTTCAGAATTAACTGTAAATATATCCTTACAACATTAATATTATTAAGTAAAAGTTATAACAGAATATACGTCAGTCTAAAAGAAACGAAATTACATCCTTTTTTTTAAAATAATCTATACATATAATAAAATTGTAACTAAGCCGAATCTGTACATTAAATATTTTTTGGAAAATCTTATTGAAATAAACATTTTTATCGATACAGAGGCCGAATCTATAGTTTTTAGAATATTTGTCTGTCTGTTACCGCATCACAGAAAAACCACTGGAGGGCTTTGATGATGATTTTGTTCCCAAACCGGATTCCGATTGGACTAATATACTTACTAATATTTTAAAATCATAAAACTTCAGGTTTTTTCTCTTAAAAATATTTTATGAGATTGGTTATATATTATGAGATTAATATATTATGAGATTGGTCTAATATGCAACATCCCGTCTTTGACAAAAAGTGTTAATGTAAAGGGCGGCGAAAATTATTTTGCCCGGGGTGGCAAAATGGCTAGATCGGGCCCTGCATGGTCTCACCCGGGACTCGAACCCAGGACCTCCGGGTATGCAGCCGTACATGCTAGCCACAATACCACCGAGCCAGCTACTTTTTACTAACGACACTTTTACGGCATTACGACATTTTTTATTGTAAGATAAAATATTGCTAGGTACTTTGGTGTCATTTCTTAATTTTTGAATTTTTTTTGGTGGGTAGGCACTGTCTGTAACAAATATATTATATTGACCTTTGAGAAGTTTAAAACCTTAAGCTGGGCATTCATGGACGAACCGTTTGTCTCGACGATAAATGGATTGCATCCAAATGGATGGACGTAATATTTTTATCAAATCCACGGGGGCGCCACGCCATGTAGTTTCCGCTTCTTTATGTTTCTGGGTGGTCATGTGAGGTGTTTAGACGATAAGATCCGATTCTGAAGAGGAATTATTATATTTCGCTAGTCTGTCTGGGTTAAAAACAGCTAAAGCCGACAAAATATGTCAAAATACTGGTTAAAAAAATCTAAGTACACATACAAATGTATTGAAGTAACTGACTCTGGAGCTATCTGTCTGGAGGGACTATTTAAGTCCTTAATAACGACTAATAAAAAAATGGCGGTCAGCGGACGCATTCACGACGATGCCATTTGGCTTGGTCGTTGGTCAGGTTGCGTGACGTGTTCCAACATTGAATTTTGACATTGACGATCGTTCATATCGGATTATTTTCGTTTGGATAACCAACAAGCCATACCAAATGCTACAGTTTTGACAATCATGCGACTTGTTGAAGTAATCGTGAATGGTCAGCTTTATATCTAAAGAATATGTAACGCTGCATTTACACGCTTGACAAGGCAGTCGACAAGCGTCCACAGACACAAGCGTGTGAACGGGGTGTTTGGCTTGGCTTGCGCGAGCTTGTCACGATGCGGGAGCGGCTAGTGACCTACCCTACCCCAGCCTGCAAATTTATGATATTTGCAATGAAAAAAATACTAATCGATAGATTTTCAATAGCTCAATTTAACTACGTAGCCCTTTCAAATTGCTCACCTTTAATTATTTAATTAAAAATCAATAAAGTCTTTGAAAAAAAATTAATTTATCTGTATATTCAAACTCCTATATCTTTTGATGTATACAATATTTCAAATTGCTCAAAGTTCTAAAACACTGCTCAAGTTGCATTTGTAATTGCTCAAGTAGAGTTTTTACCAGCTCCACTTTCGCTGATTATTAAATAATTAAAAGTATAGTTGTAATAAATGTAACGTAGGTTAAGTGAGCGTGCGCATGCGCACCGCGCATTGTCGGTCGGCCTCGGCGGGCTTGGACAATCGTTCCAATTCAACGTCTTAATTCTGTTTCTCGGTGGATTTCTTTAAATTTATTGAATTTATGAATTGTTCACATTACGTGATTCCACTTCAGATATTATAACATAAACAACAGATCTGGAATCTACCAATAAATGAAAATTAATACCAACAGATAAATTAATATTATGATGAGGTTATGAAACACTTGATTTTTTTGCCTTGCGACTCGCGTTACTGTTTGCGCGCATGCGCAGCACTCACCTATCTATACGTTAAATTTATTCAAACTATATTTATTTAATAATTAAGGAAAGTGGAGCTGGTAGGAACTCTACTTGAGCAATTACAAATGCAACTTGAGCAGTATTTTAGAACTTTGAGCAATTTAAAATATTGTATATATCAAAAGATATAGAAATTTGAATATACGGATAAATGAATTTTTTTTCAAGGACTTTATTGATTTTTAATTTTATAATTAATGGTGAGCAATTTGGAAGGGCTACGTAGTTGAATTGAGCTATTAAAAATTTATCGATTAGTATTTTTTTCATTGCGAATATCATAAATTTGCAGACTGGGGTAGGGTAGGTCGGCTAGTGTCAGTCTTTCTATAATTTGAATTTTATTTGTCATTCATGCTTTGAACACAGATAAAAAAACTTCCAGCAAGTATTTGTGGCGTATTTAAACTTTTATTTGTCATCCATGATTTAAACGTTGGTGCGTGTTTAGTGTCGCTCTAGCTCACGGTGGCAAAAAATTAAATTAAACAAAAAATCTAAAAACTATAGATTTGGCCTGTGTATCAATAACAATGTCTATTTCAATAAGATTTTTCAAAAAAATATTTGATATTGTACAGATTCAGCTTAGTTACAATTTTATTATTTGTATAGTAAAAAATATGTCCAGCCAAAAGCAACAGTCGAAACAACTTCAACGTCCGTCTGCACATAGCCCGAGAGCAAGTGACGAATTTTGGGAAGGTCCTTTTGGCAAGTTGAAATTGTGAGAAAATATAATTTCGTGAATTGGCAAGTCCAGTCTCGCGAGTTTGGTATAGCTTTAGCGGTTATTTAGTTAAATCGCATTTTTTCATATTTCATCATCATATTTTTGGCAACTTGATTTTTATTTAATCTTTTAATTTAGTTTTCATATAATTCAAAAAAAAAGAACCCCAGACGTTGCCAGACGTCTCCAAAGATGCTGTATTAAAATTCCCAAAAAATATACTTTTGGCGATCTGAAATTTGAATCACGTATTTATTGAGTAATTTTCAATAATACTTGCAAATCGCCAGACGAATTTACCGGTTATAAACCATTCCCAGACGTAAATAAAGTTTACAAATTAGTAGTACAAAAAAGTCTTATACGTAACCATAGGTGCGAGAAAAATAGCTTATCGAGGTATGCCAGCAGCTGATGGGGTCCAAGGTCCTCGTGCTGTGATTGGTTATCGAGAAACCGCACGTTTCGAGTATGGTTCGGGCTTTGCGTTCACAACAGAGTATTTTAGAGTAGTTTATTAGGGCTCCGTACCCAAAGGGTAAAACGGGACCCTATTACTAAGACTCCACTGTCTGTCCGTCTGTCTATCCGTCTGTGACCAGGCTGTATCTCATGAACCATGATAGTTAAACAGTTGAAATTTTCACAGATGATGTATTTCTGTTGCCGTTATAATAAAAAATACAAAACAATACAATACAATCTTGTAGACGTTTGCCAAGCCTCAGCAAGCGTGTAAATGTAGCGTAATGATGATATAGAAAGAATCAAATTTCAAAAAATTATATTAAAAAATATACTTTTATTATTATTTAATACTTTGCAATAAAGAAATAGTAATATAGTAGGTAATATAAAAGGAACATTATTTTTTAAGCATTACTAATGGAGATAATTTATATGTATCGTTATTTGGTTTATTAATTATAATTTAGAACCAAAGACAAATCAAGTATACATATTTTATGTATTTATTATTATTAATAATTGAAATAATCATATATTAGCCTCAAAGCAATTACTTTTAATAGGTTAACGGCCATGTTCTTTCAAATTTGAAATCCACCATAGACATCACCCTTCTAGGGAATTTTGTCACTTTGATGGTGAGTGAATTCAGGATTTGTGCTTCAGTTGTAACAGACATGAATTTTTTGAGAATATTATCTGCTTATCCTGGTGGTTATGATTTGATGTATATTCGTTTTTAATTTTATTAATAAATCTATCTTAAAAATATCCCTAAATTATTTATAGTGCAAAAGTGATCCGAAAGTGTGAAGTTGCACCAACAAGTATCAGTATTTAGATTCACGTATTTGTGGCCATATACTCTATTTTACTGTAATGCTCTGATACTTTAATATTATAAAGTGTTACAATGGATATTGATGTGAGTAAAGAAAATATACAGCCTGTAAGAGGTGGTAGAAATTTCGTGCAATTGGGAACAGCATTGCAAGCTCAGTCAGATGTAGATGCTCAAAGGCAACTGCAATTGCAAAAAGAGTAAGTTACATTTATATATCTTGTGCTTATTGTAGTAAACATTGTTTATTATTGAGATACAAGTGAAGTTATTCATAAGATTACCTTAGCTCTAGCAGAAATATATGTTATAAAGATGTGTTTTGTTACTGCAGAATTTTTTATCTAAGAATAGTATAAAATGTATTGTAAAATATTTATTATTCTCTTGTATGTACGATGCTGAGACTTAGATAATAACCCTTTAAAGTTATGATTTTATGAGGTTAGAAATTTGTAATAATTACAGGGAACATGAATCAGCCATCAGACATTATCAAGGTACAGATCCATTGGATCCTTGGTTTAATTACATACAATGGGTGGAACAGTCTTATCCCAAGCATGGTCATGAAGGCAATATAGACAAACTAATAAAAGATTGCTTGCAGTTGTTTGAAAAAGATGAAAGATATTTTCAAGATAGGAGGCTTGTAAAATTATGGATAAAATATGTGAGTAACATTCAAATTATTTAGTTTTCAAATGACTTAGTCTTTTTATATTTTATCAAATTTTCCATTTTAAATGTATACAATATCCTCCTATCCTATTATTATTATATAATTTTGTAAACTGTACATTAAATACTTGCTATAATTTAAGTTCACAACATTTTTACTTTAGTATTTTCCTAAAATAAGTTATAATCTGTTTTTATGATACTCTTTCATATAAAATTTTTATCCTATCTAATGATTCAAAAATGTTTATTTTCTTTAGTAAAGCTATTTTAACATTATTTTTATATATTTTAGGTGGACTGTCTTTCAAATCCACTTGAAATTTATCAAAGATTGTATAATACTGGTATTGGAGTAGAATGCTCAGAATTCTATCGTGCTTGGGCTTGCTACTGTGAAGAATCTGGTGATTATAAGAAAGCAAATCAGGTTTATATGCTTGGCTTGCAGGCTAAAGCACAACCTTTAGATGAACTAGAACAAGCTCATATGTAAGCAAATAGTTTTATTTATTACTAGCGACTCACCCTCACTTCACTCGGGTTTTTCCCTAGCTTCCTTCCTTATACAAACTTTCATCCCCATTTTCACCCCCTCAAGGGATGATTTCCGGGATAAAAATCATCCTATATCCTTCTTCTTCTTACTAAATTTCATCTAAATCAGTTTAGTAGATCCAGAGATTACCCCCTACAAGGTCACAAACTCAGAAACTTAACCTCTATAATATTAGTATAGATTAAATTAATATTGAACTAAATGATAATTAAAATATTATTACAAATTTGTTATTCATTGAGTGTTTTAAGTTTAGGAATGTATTATATTTTAATGAGTGTTTTGATTTTAGGAACTTTCAATTATTTTTTGCTCAGAGAATGTTACATGATGATTCACCAACAAAGAGAAAAGCTGCTTCTGCTTTAGCTGAAACTAGAATGGCTCTAACATCTCTTAAGTCATTTAAAAGGAGGAACATAGCTAACGTACCAGTTCAAAGAGTTGGAGAGAATCTTAAGAGCACTATGCCAGGAGTTGTGCGACAACAAGCAATAGATAATAGGCTACCAAATTCTAATGTCATGGTTAATGTTTATGAGGTAAGAAGCTTTCTGTTATCTCCAATATTATAAGATAAATATTATTTAGACATCCATTTCTAAGATTGTTCAGTTTGGATGTTTGGTTTATGTTTATGCTATACTGCAAAACTGGTTTCAAATCATATTTGCAACTCATTTAAGATCTTTGTAAGAATAGCTATTTTATTAAGTTCTCAATTAAAATTATATTCATATGATACTATAACAATATAAACAATATTCTGCTTCATAAGATTTTTTTTTATATTCTTAGGATGCTCCATCTACATCAAGAGGTACAGTCCCAATCGCTGAAGACCTTGGACCAGTTTCATTAGTACAGGCTTGTAGCAACGTTGAGAATGAGAAAGAAGCTGGAATGTGGACTAATCCTAAAACTAAGATGGTTCACACTAATGTCGTACCACATCAGCCGCTGCCTTTTACTCGTAAGTATATACTGGCTTATAATGATTTAGGAATATATTGGCTTGATTTCAATATTAATAGTTCGAATTGTTGTCGCTACGGCGGCTAATGTCACTGTTAATTGTAATTGCCATTATTGACACATTCATTTGGGTAACTAAATGACTCAGGTTCATAACTGTATCTCATGACTTGAGTTGGTCATGTGCGAATCACATCTTCAACATAATCATGAATTAATGGCTAATAGGGTAAAGAAAAATATTGTGAAGAAACTTGAATGTCTGAGAGAATCTAAGTACTTTTAGGAAAATGTGTGGTTCGCCAACTTGCACTGATCAGTATGGTGGGCTATCGCCTGATCCCTCTCCTATAGAGGCGAGGCCCAGGTCCAGGTCGTAGTAGGATTTTAAAATAAACTCCTATATTATCTTCTAGTAAACCCTGAAGAGAGTCAGTGGTAGCCCGTAGCGGTAACGCGCTCGTTTATGAAACCGAGTGAAGTGGGTTCAAATCCCGGGCCTCGCACCTCTGATATTTTCATGTGCGAATCATATCTAACATGATTACCACTTGTATTAACGGTGAAGGAAAACATCGTGAAGAAACCTGCATGTCTGAGAGAACCTAGCAAGTTTTCGAAAGACATGTGAAGTCCACCAACCGGCACTCGGCTAGTGTGGTGGCACCCCCAGCAGTAGGACGTTGAAAAGGGCTGAATTACACATAAACCCTGAGGATGCGGCGATGTCGAATCTACACAAATAAAATTGATTACATTTTGTTTGTAATTTCACAATAGCTCTTCCATATTACACTTATAACATTGCATGATACAAGCATCCGTTTAAATATGTTTGTATTTATTTCTGGCAGTTTATACTCGCTAATCTCCGGAACGGCGAAATCTATTATATTGAAACTTTCACTAGCGAGCATAGCATTTGAAGGGGAATGACGTGGGAAATTATCTTTTTTAATTTGCGGGATGAAGGAACACTGCTTAATTTTTCTTTCCTTTCTTGCGTTTATATATCTATCTGGACGTTCGCTTGTGTATAGTAAGTTCGGTCGAAAACGAAATAATGTACTTTTAATCTCTCCACGACCGCGGACACGCCGGCGTGTCAGTTAATAATTGATTTCTTAGAAATTTATTGTTAACACTGGATGAAGTCATGTCAGCGAAGTAGTGGAACGAAATTAAGTTTTATGTAGTTTTTGGCATGGAGTATATAATATAGCCCAAGTAATCTGAGGATGGATCACTATATAATTCAGGAATGCCTAAGGCTTAGCCCGCGTACAGGGTAAAACCGAGTTAGATGTCCCACGTTTTGAAAAGGATTTAAAAATTATTAAATTAGTATACATAACTCCTGAAAATATAGCTACAGCTTAATATTACATTACAAACTATTTTTGTTGGCCTAACAATTAATATAAAGCTACTTATAAAGTTATGAAACAATAAAAACTTGCGCATAAGACTTAGCGTTTCACGTTCGTTACGGAGGCGATCGCACGCCCTAACAAAATGCATCTATTTGGCACGACGGCTTTAGATAGATTAAAGATATGTGACCCTCATTCTTTTAACTATTGTTTATTGTTTCGATTTCGGGAAGTTAGGTTTTTAAAAGAGGCATCTATTCCACTGCGGCATTTATTAAGGCTTTATATATTTCAATATATTCTACAAAAACTAAACATTACCTTCAAGTTCAACCTTTAAAATTATTTCATCGATTAAACTAAAACTAAGGTAATTTTGAGTTACTTTAGACAAGGAGTACTACTGAGTACTCCTGTTACTGAGCACGAACTGTCGTGCTTAAGTAGTTTTGTGTGTGCCAATTGTGAACCAATTTTTGTGGATCTTTTCAATAAATAGGTATTACCTAAGCATGGTCTAATCCACTCTAATCTAATTCGATCTCTTCACGAAATTAGATTACATTTACGTTACGTATCAATGACAGTGAAAGTATTATTTAATTTATCGCATTCTGTTAGTACTTTCTATATATTACATTCTGGCACTACCTTATAATAATTATAATATATATATATATATATACCTTATAATTTTGCGTGACGTGAAACAGTGGTAGAAATTTAAAAATATTTCTTGTTTTAAGAGATAGAAAAATCACCTTCTTTAAAGCTGTCATAAAGATCTAATCGTACAAACAATATCCAAATAAAGATTAGCACATTTGTTGATTTTATCAAATATGCAAATATTAAATAGAATGCAAATTTATTTCTTCTTGGCATAAGCTGTGCTTGAGAGAAAAATGTTTCTAAATATAATTGGTCTTTTTCAATGTTTTTATTGTAATACTAGCAGTACCCGCGGCTTCGCCTGCGCTTAAACTTCCAATATAAACATCAGTTTTACAATAATGTACAGAAGTCGGCCCAAATTGTTGACATTTATGATTACTGCTCCGCTCGCTTGGGTAGTAGCATGATGATATATAGCCTATATAGCTTTCCTTAATAAACGGACTATCTAATATAAAAAGAAATTTTCAAATGGGATCAGTAGTTCTTGAAATTAGCGTGTTCAAACAAACAAACTGCCTCTTTACAATATTATATTAGATTAGTATATAGATTAATTAAGATTTATTTATTTATATTTTTTATTAAATTCGGGATTAATTTGTCTCTTTTCAGTTATGGCTACAGTTAACAAGACAAGTCAGCAAATTCATTGTCTTTTTAATTTAAGAACCTATAACTAAATATGTTTACATATTTTATTTTATTTTTCAGCTTATGAAGATGTGGATGATGATATAAAACTTTCTGCTAACCATATGCCTTATTGTTTGGATGATTTAACACTTAATGTGCCTCTATGTGTACCTGATCCTGTAGATCCAACTAAAATACCTTGTTATAATAAGGCCCAGGTAAGTTTTGTATTAATCAATATGTAAATTAATTTTCATATTTAATTTTGATATTTTATGTGTTTTAAGACCAATAAACATAGTTCCATTAAATCATATTCTCAACCTAAGCTTATAATCTTTCAAAAAAAAAAAAAAATACTATAATAATAATATAAAAATATAAAGAACTAGCGACTTAGAGAGCGAGTGCTCAAGGGACCGCGATCTTTTTCTCGCTTTTGGAGATTTCTCACGAACCAGAGTTTCTAGCTTACCGGAATTTGACTTATCAGAATTTGACTAGGAACAAGCATTGGTTCCTCGAAATTTAAGGAAACGAAAACAATGTTAGTTCCACAAAAAAGCCATAAATCGCAATCTCAATTATAGAGGTCCATGATGAAAAACCTACCTCTGATAGAGGTATTTGTTTTTCTGTTTTGTTTTTTTTTTATATTTCTCACAGAATTTCTTGCTTACCTACTTCACACTCACTCAGTTTTGACTATAGATAAGTATATTCTGTGTGCTCCTTAGATATACATTCATGCTATGGTGGACTTTTTTAGACCTTTTTAATTCCTACAGTTTAAATAATACCCCAGTTCAACATCGGCGCAGCCACTGAACGATTCGGTTCCATCTTTTTAACTACACGTGTAAATAACATACAGTAAAGAACAAAAATCATGTCCATTACATACGTGTGACGATGAACTTAGTTATATTTATGAGAGTTATATATAAAATATGACCAGTTAAACATAACCAACGACTACGCTGAGTAGTCGTTGAACATAACTAACCTCACGATTTTAATTATTTATTAATAAATAAATGTAGTTTTTGTGGCTTAAGTATAAAAGTTTGATATATGTTGTTGCGGACTTTTTGTAGGTATTTTCAAGCTCTACGACTTTCCTATCATTCACATATATCTTACCGTTAAAGCCGCGTTTCTAAGAAATGCTTTCTTTCGACCGTTTATTCGTCGGCTTACTTTGCAAATTCGGTTACTGCGAAAAAGCCTTTTTATTTTACCGGGATATTATATAGCCTTAAGCCTATGTCCATCCGAATTTCCATATAAATCATAATAAAATGATAATGATCATCTATATATTTTTATCATGATTTGTATGCAAATGTAAAAGATAATAATTAGTTGTTTTTATTTTTTATTAGATATATTTATTTTGTTAATAGCACTACTAATCTATTAGTTCATTTTTAGGTTTATGTAAATGATAAAGAATACAGCTTAGAAGAAATAAGAGCGAGAAAATATAGTGTACAAAGAGAAAATAAAACTGAACATATTGATCAAATGAAAGAGAATTATAAAAATATAAATGAGACTCTAGCACAATGCAGTGCTTTGGAGACATTGGCGAACTGCGCCCTAGATACTGAACAAGACCATATGGCACAACTTATGCCGTTAAATATGCCCACTTTACAAAATATAACTAAAGTGACAAATATGCATTCGCCCGGTGAACCTAAAGTGCTAACTAATCTTGACTCAAAAGAGGTCAGTGAATTAGCAACAAAAAAATGTGACGAGAGTGACAGACAAAATATTAGGGTAGATAAAGAAAATCAAGTTATACAGTCACCGAATCCTAATAACAATGGGAGGAATGAATATGGTAGAAACAATTTGATGGAAGAATTTAATCGGAGTCTGATGAGCAACTTGTTGGGTGATTCAGTTACAGTAAACACTAAGGAGGCGAGATGGGAGCTTAGGAATATTTTTAATGATAACGGTATGTTTTGTTTTTTTAACATAATTCCTATAGTGTATTTTCGATTTGTCTGCAGGTTCCTTGAATTAATTTTCAAGCACTTATTTACAAACAAAGCCATTTTAAATCACTGCAAAGTGTTTGAAATAGTTATTTACTCCATGCTACCCTTTATGTTGGCTGTAAGACCAACTTACCTTGCACTAATTGTATTGGTTATTATCATATAAAGTATTTTTTTCGAATGTCGACACGTTCGGCTCAGTTTGTAGTGACCCTACTTGCTGCGCCAGCGGTCGCGGGTTGAGTCCCGCTGGGGGCATTCGTTTGTGTGATGAGCACGAACATTTGTACTCCAGTCATGTGTGTTTATATTTATAATATGTATGTATTTAAAGTTATATATGTGTAGTGTATCAATAATCTGGTATCCATAACACAAGCCTCGTAGCTTACCATGGAACTAGATGGCGCTGCGTGTTAACGTCCCAACATATTTATTATTTATTTTTAAATTTCGATTATGCTGTAGATTTTTAAAGTAATATTACTATACTCAAGCAGTTCACCTTTATTAAAGAAATTATCAAACACATTTAAATATTAATAACAAAAGGCTCAATAAAAATATTATTAATATATAATTGCTTATATAAGTCGTCTATTTTCTCGTCATTTTGAGATATTGCATGCTTGTTTTTGTCAAAGTAGACATATACACATATTTCTATCTGATCAATACAAACTCATATTAGTTTAATATTCAACACTTGCACTACATTGTTCTTTTATCCTATTGCTTACATTAGAAAAAAATATGTTTTATTGTAGCAGAGCCATCCATGGTTCAACCAGTCGTCCAGCAATATGATGTGCCCAAATTTGATATACATGAAGATAGATCAATGACGATGGCTATCAATTGTAAGAAGAATTATGAGATAGCTGAAGTAAGGAATTTTCCTGAAGATAAAGAAAATGCAAGTAAATTCAACACGCAACCACCAGTGGCCACACAGCAGGTTATAATTTTTTAATTTATATATTATAAATTTGTCTATGACATTGACATTATAGGTTATTTAGATATAATCTATTATAGCATTGTCACGTGTTCAAATCTAGAAAATATATTTTATTGTTTATAGATAAATAAAACCGCATATTACGAAGAGCCTTCCTGCACTCAGGTGTTTAACTTCAATATAAAAGATGCAAGTACTCCAAATATGTCACAGTTTAAGAAACCAAATTCAATAGATCAATCAAATAAATTTTCCGTGCCTAAATTTGCAATAGACGAAAGTGTTATAGAACAATCTGATCAAGTGAGCAATAAGAGGGATGAATGCTCCAGACAAACAGACCAACATACTGTAAACAATCAAGGTGATGGCCTTTCCGTTATAATGGAAGCCACAAGAGAATATAACAGGTAGGATTTTTGTATATTCCTTAGACCAATTAAATAGAACTTATATAGATCTTGATTTCAATCATATAGAGATAGATATAGAGAATATATATATGGGCTTTGTTTTCAAACCTCAAAGTTATTATCATTTTATTGTTTATCTAAAAGTACTTTTATAATGGAACAATAATATAATAGAAAATTTACTTAATAATTATTTTCAGTAAATCAGGATCTACTAGCTCTTCTGGACAATCAACAAGAACTAATTTCACAGGTTACACAACTAACTATGACTCCATGTACAATAACCATGACCCAAACCAACCAAACACTGCCTCCAAGAGAAACTCCATATCAGCGCAAGCGAGGTTGCCCAATGGTCAATTTGCTAGAACATATCAACAAAAACGGGAATCAGAAAACAAAGTGGCGATGCCCTCCTCAGTGCCTTATCAGTCTCATGACCACCAATACCAAAAACCTGTATCGACTAACTATAGTGGATACTCCCCTCAAAGATCTATGCACCTTTATCAACAGAACTACAACTATCAACAAGGTTATCCAAATAACCATATGATAAGTCAACAACCCCAAGGCTATGGCAGTCCAAACCCCAACCCTTATCACAGCCCCCAACATAGTGTACAAGCCAGCCACGAAATCAACCCATCTGTCTCACCAGGCTTTCAAAGTCCCACCTACTCGAACCAGATGGTCTACCACCAATCTCCTATCACCAGTCCCGGGCATGCAATGGTTAGTCCCCAACCAAATTATGGCAGGCAAGAGTTCCATTATAATCAAACAGATAGACAAGTGTACGCCAATCAACACCAATCTACCGCCATTTTCCAAAGCCCTCCACATCAAACTCAGTACCAAAACTCCATGTACTACCAGAGAACCAATCAAGTGCCTGCCCAAAACTCACAGTACAACCAACAAAACTATCACAATATACAGAATCAGTACAGTAGTCCTAATATGTATCCAAATGCAAATCAAAACACGAGTAGTTCAAACTACAACGTACACAGTCCCTATCGACAACCTCCCAAAGTAGAAAATAATCAAAATCAAGCATATGGAAATCAACAAAACGTATCAAGCAATCATGAGTTTCAAATTTATCAAAGTCCTCAACCTAATAATAATTTCCGTAATAATTCGATGCATGACCCTAATATGGCACAGAACGCTTACGCCGATGCCTCGGTTAGACAAGACGCTGACACCTCAATGAAATGTCAAGAACGAGTCGAGGCCGATAAAAATATAACGAATACTTCAAACCAACAAAAACAACAACACAAAAGCCCTAACAGTTCAGTATTAAGAAATGTGAGACACGACCAACCCAACGTGAAAGTCGGACAGAAGTCTCCAGATATAGGATTTTCTAATCAATTCCTCAACTTTATATCTAATAGAAACGAACCCAAAGATAACGCTAACACACCGAAGTTTACTAACAGCCCAAGCATTTCCCAAAAAATGCATAAAAACTTATACGTATCGAGCCCAGAGCAGGCTCAAGTCCCGCCATCTTCTGGACTTTCCGATACCGATAGTAAAGACGGTATGACGGCGCAAACCGCTACACCTATTCAATCTGCCAAAATATCCCATTCTATCGAAAAGCATAAAGATATATCCAAAAGACAGTTAGATTTCGAGCACAGAGTTGAGATACAATCTGAGGATAGCAGGGACTCTGTGAGTAAAGACAGCAGAATCTCGTCTATATACACGCGGCAGTCTGATTTTCAATCCGACGGCTACGGGATGGACGTCGATAGTGAGAACTCAATGGAGTGCGCGACATTTAAATCGTCGCATTCCATATCTTTAGTGGAAACCAGTGACATACCGAGACCCGCTGATATTGATTTTCCGAAAGTAATAGATCCTTTCAATAAGAAGATGCTAACTAACTTATTAGAATATGTAAAGTTCCCGAATAAAACGCACGCGGATGGTTATATAGAAGTGAGGTCTATTCCAAAGCTACAAGTGGCTACAGTTACGAGAGTAGGTAGCTCCAAGTTCTCAATAGAAAAGCAGTTGGGCAAAGGCAATTACGGAGCAGTATTTTTATGTTTAGACCTTCGCAGTAACAAGTCGGTCGCTGTTAAATATCAAAAGCCGAGTCGTCCATGGGAGTTTTATATATGTCAAGAGATAAAAGCTCGGATTAAAGATCCTTTCATGGTATAATTTTTTTTCCTATTTTACTAACGTATATACTGAGTATACAACATAATTTCATAATTTTATACACAGCTTCCAGGGTACATGGATATAACGACAGCCTTCCTCGGGGATAATGCAAGTTTATTTGTATCGGAATATTCCCGATACGGATCATTGTTGGACGTTGCTAATAAAGTTAGAATTGCCACATCTAAGTGTATAAATGAATGTATTGTTATTCTGTTGACATCTGAAATGCTTTCGATAGTACACTATCTACATAAAGCGCAAATTATTCACGCAGATCTTAAGCCGGATAATTTCTTGCTAATGAAAATGTAAGTATAATTACAATAATTTAGCAGAAAATAATGGTTTATTTGAAACAAATAACTCAAAAGCCCTAAAATTTATTTAAATTTGAGATAATTTTGTTAAATGAATGAAAATTAAGTACTAAAATACATTTTTATTTATAGACCAACGCAAGAATGGCGAACCCCATCTTTACAATTGATTGATTTAGGATGTGCAATAGATATGTCGTTATTCCCAGAAGGAACTACTTTTAGAGAAGTAAGTATAAATAACATAATATACACATTTATGTCTTTTTAGTTAACTATCTAATAGGAGTCTAATGTATTTTTTTTCTTATTTTTAGAGGTAATAGGGAAAATTAAGTTAAATATTTTTAGTGTATTTACAACAATACAGCTTTGACATACTAGTATTATATACAAAAAATCATGATGTTATCAAATCTATACAAATAAATAAAATTGAAGTGTCTCTTTGTAATGTCGAAATAAAAGCTCTTTAAGTTATTACTAAATAAATACCAAAATATATATGGTACTTTTAAGACAAACACAATTTTTAAATTTTATGTCTGTCTATTTGTTCCGGCTAATCTGCGAAACAGCTGAAATGATTTTGACGGGATTTTCACGGGCAGATAGCTGATGTTATAAAGAGTTCCTTAGGCATCCTTAATTTTAGAAAAAGAATTAGAGTTCTGCTTTAAATAAATGTTTTATAAAGTATTTAATATTATAATTTATTATTTCAGTTGATTGCCACTGAAGGATTTACTTGTACGGAAATGAGGGAAGGCAAACCTTGGACGTACCAAACAGATTTGTACTGCCTTGCTGGTACAATATATGTTATTCTCATGGGAAATTACATGAAAGTGGTTAATCGCTTAGGTCATTGGAATATAGACAAGAAATTGCCTAGGTAAGCCCCTAAATTTTAAAATTATAATTAAAATAAGTTTCTATGAAAAAAGTATTTCTTTGTCTTAATCAATAGTTTTATTTTATCTTTGAGATTATTCAAGACATAAGAAGTTAAATTTTTTTTTTTCTGAAAAAATAACTTACACATTTACTTTTTATAGTTTTTAAAATTCAAATCTAATTTTTATATTTAATTTCTTTTTTATTCTATTTAAAAATATATATAAATTACAGGTACATGAAAAATACTTTATGGGATAAAATATTCACAACCCTTTTAAATGTGCCTGATTGCAACAATCTGCCGGACCTCATGGATCTCAAGAATGATGTGGACAGAGTCCTCAATGACATCAGTCTCAGCCTCAGCTCTCAGCTCCGTAATTTCGCTAATGTGCTTAAATTTAAGTAAACTAAAGACACAGCTGTATTTATTGCATTTAGATATTATCGTGACTGTAAAAATACGTTTGTATTGATAATAATATTTAAGTTGAATGAATTTCGAGTCTTCTATCTGGTTGAAAAAGCTCTAAACCTATTGAATATCACTTTAAGGTTATCTTGTTGTGTTTAATTAAAAATGTGATATGTAATTTAGCTTTTTTGTTAGTAAATATGAAATGTGGCTTAGCATTATTATTATCTTGTTAGCTTAATGTTGAAACTTCACTTAGGTTTCATTTATTTTTGTACAACATATAAGACCTGCACTTCATATTTTTTTGTTCAACTGTAATAAAGAATTAATAAATTACCTGGTTATAAAAGTTTTTTTTTCCTTCATTATAGGTCACCTTTACATATATACTTTGTAGTACATAAAAACTTTTTAACAAAAAATTAAAAACCGACTTCAAACAAAAGCACTAAAAAGTAAAAAAATAACTGATTGGTAGTTTTCATTTACTATACATAGTAGTAGGCTTTAATTACTTAGCCAAAGCACACCGACTTCGAAAATATTTGATTAGGTATGTATAGTAATAATTATAATAATAACATCTCAAATTAAATAAATAATATTTCATATTCAATTATAAAGCTAATTAAAATTATATAAAAATGTTTAAAGTTAAAATATTGTAAGGTACTTTGGTGCCATTTTTCAATTTTTTTAATTCATTTTGTTATTTGTGGGTAGGCTGTCTGTAAAAACTATATAATACCTTAGAGACATCTAATACCTCAGTCTCTCCCGTGACCATGATTGCTGTAAAGCATTCGAAACATCGGGAACCAAAAATCAAAATAAATTCGCGAAAAAATCCGAAAAGATAGTTTTATTTAAAAGGAAAACAATGTTTTTTTGTATGTATCGAATAGACTCAAACCAATTGAGTTGAAATTTGTTATGGAGATAGTTTGAGACCCTGGGAAGGACATAGGATAGTTGTTATTCTGGAAATCATCCCTTAAGAGGGTAAAAATGGGGGGTGAAAGTTAGTATGAGGAAGCAACCTAGGGACGAACACGAGCAAAGCAAGGATAAGTCGTTAGTATTTAAATAAATATCCGATATTGTTAAATCAGATGTTTTGTGTATAGTATATTATTTTATATATATTAGTAAAAAATAATTAAAAACCATATATATCTAACCCAAAACTGTATAAAAAGTCAAAGGCTAAGGTAATTTAATAAAAACACCTTTTTTTATATTTTACTTGTATCAATTATTTTCCAATCTTAATTTTTTTCTTTCTTGATATTCTTGTACATTGTCAAATTTTCTTTTGAATAGTACTTTAATAGCATTATGATCACTCTTTGTTTCCATGTTAATATCTTCATTTTCAAACACTTTTATCTGCTTAGCTAAATGTATAGAGAAACATTCATTTTTAAATGAGATGTTGTATTCCAATACTTTTAAGTCCACCTTGTCATACACAAACAAAGATGACATGTGGAATTTTATAGCAGCTGGAAACCTTTCTAAGGGAAGCTCTGAAACAAGATTGTGACTAAATTCCTCATTAATACTTTTCAAATAGTATATTAATACCTTGTTGTAAGAATGAACTGTAACACTTATAAGACTGGAGCATTCATCAAATTGAACTATTGTACAATCTACTATCGGTAAACTATTGATTTCTACACATTCTGCATCCATGAATTTACTAAATTCTTGTTTTAATTCTTCATTATTTTTTATGTCACTATAAGTATCAATTGTGTATAAAAGTTTTCCGTTTGTGTAGTTCCAAACTTTCACTGTTCCATCTCCAGAAGTACTGATCAAAATTCCAGTAGTATGAGGGACTAGTTCAATATTATTTACAAATTCTTTATGTCCCATGCAGTATGTTTGTATGGTATAAGTGTTGGGATAACAAGATACTTTGATTTTCTCATCTCTGTCACATGTAATGATGTATTGACCATCATTGGTTTGTAAAACATTAAGTAGTAGACTTAGGTGCCCTAAGAGTTTAGTACCCTTGTCTTCCTTAAAAATGTCATAAATGAGGACATCACCAGTTTTGTCTGCTACGAATATTTGATTATTGTTAACTCCGAATCTAATTTTACTAGCACTTCTTGGTAATGTAAAACTTTGTACGATGTTCAATTCAGGTATTTCATATATTAATAATCTCTTTGACGATGAAAATAACACTGCTAATAATTTATTATCGTGTGAAATTACTATATCAATAACAAAATCATCGTCTTGTGCCGGTGCATTTAATTTTAACTGAAGCATTTTATGACTTGTATAGTCATAATAATCAACATAAGACCCGTTAGCTACTGCTATTATATTATCGCTTACTTCCATTAAAGTCATGGTTATAAAAGCATAATTTTATCTTGTTTTAATAATAGATTCTGATTTCTGATTATTGAATAAATTGATTTCAACTATTGTAAATAACCTTAAATTACAGTCATCTGTCAAGTAATACATGTGACAATTGATTATTGACATATTGACATTGGTAATACCACAGATTACACAATACTAGTACATAAAAAGTTTTTAGCAAAAAAATAAAAACTGACTCCAAAAAAAGCTCTAAAAAGTAAAACATCACTGATTAGTAGTTTTCATTTACTATATATACCTAATCAAATATTTTCGAAGTCGGTGTGCTTTGCTTTGTATCGGCTGGCATTCAGCAGCTGCAGCAGCTGGCGTCAAACTCTTTTTATTTACTTAGTTAATCACTGAAGACTAATTTTTTGTCTTAGTTTACCTTGAAGGCTCCGTTTTCTATACATAAGGTACCTATAATTAATAAGTCCAATGAGAATGCTTTTAAGACTAAATTCAATATAATTTTGAACTGCATCCAATAATCTAGCGAACTAAGTCCAGTAAGAATGTTTATTGTACTAAATGAAGTTCTATTTAAAAAGATCACTTTTTTTTTCATTTTTTTTAAATAGACAAACAAGATTATTGCTTAAAACATGGTTTTTATTATATATACTTAGGTACTAGATCTCTTTAGTCTGTGTAAACTTTATGACACTGACTCTAAAGTTGCACTATTGCTTATGTCATCTGTTTTATGTCAGAAGTCAGAACTCTGAAATCTGAATAAAAAAATAATTTGCAACAACTCAACAAGCAATAAATAATCTTATATGATATATCGCAAATTACCTACTTCTTCTAAAAGAGACATTAAAAATTCAATAAAACATTTAGTTTTTGTGAGTAATTTAAGTTAAAATTAAATTCTTTGTAAGGTACCACATTTTATTTTTATTTATACCCAGCCATGGCTACTATGTTTACATCATGGAGTCCAGACAAGAAACATACCGACGTTGAAAGGTATACTAACAATATTTATCTATGATGAACTACTAGTTATGTTTTTTCTTACAATTAAAACACTTTACTATTATTTTTCAAATAATGATATGATTTTATCTAAATTTCAGATGGATCTGCGTTTATCCAGCTTATTTAAATAGTAAAAAGACACTTGCCCAAGGTCGCAGGCTTTCAAAAGACATATGTGTAGAAAACCCTACTCATCAAGAAATAAGAGATGTTCTAATTGGAACTGGTTTGCGTATTGGAGTTGAAAATAAGCTGTATCCACGTGAACGTAGTAAAGTAATATATTATTTTCACCTACAAATTATTAATATTAACTTCACATATTGTTTTACAAATGAATATAAAATTTATTTTCAAAAAAGGTTAAGTAATGTATGTTTTTATTAAGTAAAAGAAAATAAACCGACAAAGTATGTATTATTATTAGTTACAGAAGCAAATTATGTATTTAGGAAAATATTTATTTCCAGGAAATGTTACATAGAGGTCGCATTCGTGTTGAGATAAAAAATGATGATGGCACACCGATCAAACCTGAATATGCTACTAGAGAATCTGTTATGAAATACATTGCAGAGTCTATACCGAAATTAAAAACTCGTCAAAATAGGTATGATTTAATTTTAAAACAGATAATTGAAAAGTTTTAGAATGACTAGTGAATTTATTTTTTATTTTATCTGTAATAATATCATGATAATAATAATAATAGCAATGAGATTTTAAATATAATTTTTTATTATTACTTATTTTAAATAAATCTAAAATAAATGTATTTATTATTTACAGACCTGCAGACCAACAGCCTCAAGCTGTTCAACAAGGCAGCAATAAGAGTAAAGGAAAGAAAGGAAGGCGCTAACTTTATTTATTTTTTGTTTAAAATTGAATACAAAATATTTCTTATTCTATCTATAATTTTATTTCACTGTACCTATACTTAAATTTTATGAATGAATGTGAATGGCTTTCTCAGTCAGTTTATTTTCACCATTAACATCTCTTGCTACACTGTATCCATCAAATATCATAACTATTTTTCCAGGAAAAGTTGAATTCGATAGAGAATTTTTAGAATTTACTGCTTTATTTGTTCTACTAATTTCTTGATTTTCCGAGGCAACTGCGCCATCTCTGACAGTGAATCGTTTATTACCGGCGTAATCGAGTTCGACGCTTTTTTCATTAGTTTCGGCGGCTCGTAGTGATGTATTTTCCTTTTCGGGCTTAATTCCTCGTAGTCTTGAATTAAGTTTTGGTAAAAGTATTGAGCTTTTTGTTTTGTTTCCTCGAATTTCGAATTGAGTTTCTCCTTCGTGTTCAAAAACGTGTCCTGTATTATTTTGAAAGGTTTCATTTGTCGGGAATATGGGTTCTTCACTTTCGTCGGTTCTTCTATCAGCCTCTGAATCTCCGGGATAGGTTCTGTATCCACGTCCTCCGGATCTATCGCCACTTGCATCGTTTCGTGTATTACTGTTGGTATTTTCTTTATTATACTCTGCATCGGAGTCATTTTCTCTTCTGAGGGCAGTATATTCATTATCTCCATTATCCCCGGTGATATATCCTTCAACGCCTCTGTTATATGTGGAGCTGCTTCTTTCACGGAATCTATGATTGTTTCTCCGAAGGCTAACGGGATTTCTTGTAGGTAATACGGATAAGTTCTTATTCCATCCGAAACGGCTGACGTGATCATCGGTAGTATGATAGGCCGGCGGGGTGGTAACAGTGATAGAGGTGAAAGTTTCGCTCTCGACCTCAGTGGGAAAAGCCGTGGAAGTTGTCTCTTGGTCCGCGTTAGACCTGATCGCCGACTCATATTTACTGACGCAGGTGCATACAACATCGTCACTGTCGGATTGAACTGGGTTTCTCTTGTATTTGTTGTACCTTCTAGAATCGAAGGTTTCGCTAGAATCTGAACTGAGAATATTGTCAAATAACATCCCAATATTTCTAAGCAGGGGAATATATTTTTTGTTAATATTCTCATTGTGACTTATTTCTCTCTTTGACGTTAAATTTTTACGTTTATTACGAGGTTTCTGCAAGTGTTTTAATTTTTTCGGTTTTGACGGTGATTTAATTTGAAAAGTTTTTTTGTATTTCAACGACGACGTTTTCCTGTTAGCCACGTAGTTATTGTCTGTAACTGTAAAAGTTTTTTTAAGATTAATAAAGTTCTTTTTTGGGTTCGGTACCACAATCGATAAAAGCGGAACTCTTATACGATCACTCTATCATTTTAAAATTGCTAAATCATATTTATTTGTGTCGTGTTTGAGAAACTTAGCGTTTAAATATTACATGCAATTTATAAAAACACTAAAATAGTATTGAATCTTATATAATTAATTATATGCCCTGTACTAAAGACGAATTAAATGTTAATTTTTTGTCTGTCTGTTTGTTTATACCCGTTCATCATTCAATGGTATTTTTACTGGATAGAGAACTGAGACAAAAATGTCAGGGAAAGAAAAAAAGGTTGAATAGAGGAAGAAGTTTTATATAATTTAAAGGGACTTTAACTGGCGGACAGAGGATTAAAAAAAGTAAGGGTTGCCGCAGGATAGGAAAATATAAGTTAGAGTTTTATAAGTTTTGGCACAGGATATAGGGCGGACTGTGAAGACCGGAAAGTAAAACAAATTTACTGATATATTATGAAGTAACTTAGAATGCAAAAAACTAAAAAAATATACGAGTTATAAAAGCATTTTTAACTTTTTTATACATATTTTGTTAGTGTGCATTTTTTATTAACTCACGACGCAGATAGAAGGGTGTTATAAGTTTAATATCTGTCTGTGGCATCGTAGCCGAAAAAGAAGAATCGAATATAATTTAGTTTTTTTTTGTTTGAATAGAGACTTGATCAAGAGTATTCTTAGCTATTAATCAAGAAAATTCGTTCAGCCGTTTGTATACTATCAGCTATTTTCTAGAGTTTAGTCTCTAGACGATAAGAGGATATGAGGAACTTTCACAGATTAATCGATTCGGAACCTGATGTCCCGTTTCTTCAATATCATTGCAATGATATGGAACCCCAACATATGTACGTGATACGACCTATTAAGAGGGTTATGAACACTGGCTTTGGTGGTCTTTGGTTACCATTAAATCGGACTGATTAAATGGTTTTTATTTTTTATTTTTTGAGGGGTTGTTTTTGTAATTGTAATTTTTTAGGTTTAAAAATAATTGGTTTTTTACTAAGCATAAGCTTTTTAGCTACCTGGTATCAAGGACGTTTCTAATGAAGCTTCCTTGCCCTCTCGTTCTGCTGCTATGACGTCGTTAAGTGAAAAAGGTTTTGCTCCGATAACTGCAATATAGATAATGAATACGTTATTAATAAACAAAATATGCAATATAGATGTTGTGAAGAATAGAGATACTATGTTAAGAATAACCTAAAAGGGAGCTACAGACTGTAGGTATACAAACCAAAATTAATTTTTGAGTATATGTACATAGCTTAAATAGGTGAAATATCAGCAGATACATGAGCCAAATTCACTCGTTGAAAACTATTGAATTTGGCAGGTGCGCCACTTAAAATCATCCATTGATTGAGTAGTTGATTCAACATTGATATGTTTGGAACAAATTTGGTAATTGACGTCACGAATTGGCCTTATTAATAATTATAGTTGGTTTTTGATCATCAAGAGTCCTAAATGTAAATCCTGACATGAGACAATCCTTTAAAAAAATTATTACACGAAAAAGCTAAAAGAAAAATGTAGAGGAGAAGAATTTAATATTTAAACTAACTCTAAGACCTCCAGGTAAAGTTCTAAGATATTAATTAAATTTCTAAGAAATCTATTGTTAACTGTAACGCCGGCGTGTCCGCGCTCGTGGAGGAATAATTAAAATGTTTTAGTAATAAAATTAAATTCTTAATGTACTTACATGTTATTATAAAAGCACAACTAGTATAAATACAAAGTAGTATTCGTATTTCCATTTTTTATCATTTTAGAGTTAGCAGATAACTACTGCATGTTAAGTTAACGGCAAAAGTGATTTCTTTAAATTAATTGTTTTTATAACATTCAGGCATGTGACTACGATGCAAATTTAAGGCACGTATTTAAAGCACGTATCTTACGAATACTTAATTACATACAGCAAGTGCTGCGTTTAGCGGTTTCGCTCAGATTTAATCATTGATACAGGTATAAGTATTTTTTGAAGTTATACTTCTTTTCGCACGCTTAGAAAAAAATATGAGAGTAAAATTTTTACTATGCGCGCGCACACCGATAGCCAAAAAGCGACCTGATGAAGTTAGCTGAAAGCGACATGATGAAGTTAGCTGTATTTTTTTTACACACAGAGAGTTGTGACATACGGGATGAAATCTTTAGCTATTTTTGTTCTGTTACGCCAAAGGAGTATAACTTCTTAGGTGTGTTCATAAGTACACACATGCCACACACGTTTTTTGAATATTGTAGGTACTTGTTTATTATTGTATAAATTAACAACTTATTGTAAAATAAATATTTTATATGGAATTGCTATGTTATTTGATATAACTTAAGTCTTAGAAATTCTCTCCATGGAGGTTTATGTTTCCACTGACTATAGAATTACCGATGAAATTTTTTTTATTGTTTTTTGTGAGTTATCATACCTTAAAGATATACCTATGTATGTACATATATTGAGTTGATTAAACTTCTTAAAGTTAAACAGAGCGCTATAAACGATATATTGAGTTTCGAATAGGTGCTTATTATTTCGAGTGCGTGTTGGTCGGAATGTGAGCGGAACAATTTGCCAATAATCCTATCTCGATTCCCAAGGCAATATGTAAGGTTTCCTCCCAACTGAAATTCGAAATATGGTCCAAGAATTATTGCAGCATCTAAATCGCTGTTTCTTGTATGTATATCGTCCTTTATATTCGGTTTATAGTTAAAACAAAAATAGTTATTTGATAAAAAAATACGTCTTGACGACTTCAAAAAACTTTATCACTTCACTTTTCTTCTATTTGGTCCCCCAGTACTATGTAGGAGAAAAGTGTTATGAAAGGGGCAAGTTCAGAATGGAACAAAATTTTGCGGCACTAGGAACCAAGTAGTACATTTTTGTTGTCTAAATTCTTACAACATTTACTCAACAATATTGACGTAAATTTCATTTGTTTTTCAAAACAAAGAAAATGGCGAAGCGTAGTTTGATTATTTCGTAAGTAAAAGTATTTTATTCGTTGTTAGTGAAATATATTTATTAGATTATTTAAATAATATTTGATAGTTATTGTACCGCTAATTGATCATTGGTTTAACTACTTAAAAGGCGAGTGCGCAATAATAGAAAATTATTGACAACTAAATAGGCTTAACAAGGGAAAGTAGGAGTTGAGGCAGGACTACAACGCCCCATAAAGACGGGGGAGGTTTTGCTGGGTTTTAGTACTGACTTCTCCAGGCGGTGAGTCCCTCATAACCATCTGTATGTATAGAAACTTTCATCTACATTTTCACCCCATAAGGGATGATTTCCGGAATAAAAGTATCCTATGTCCTTCCCAAGGAATCTAACTATGTTCTTACAAAATTTCATCTAAATTGGTTCAGTAGATCCAGAGATTATCCCCTACAACGTCACAAATTCACAAACTTTACCTCTTTATAATATTAGTATAGATAAGTATAATTATCTTACATTTTGACAAAACTGTCAATTTCTTTTTTGAATATTGTTGTCATGATGAAGAAACTGAACGTCAATCTGTCAACTCACTGTTTCATTTTTTAACCCAAATTTTTCACTTTTTCGTACAATTTTTACAAATATTTCTTTCACCCCCAAACAATTGTCCTGGCAATTACAAACATAACAAAAAAGAATTAGCCAAATAGGTGCAGACGTTCTGAAATAGTTCGCTTACATACATTTTGCAATTGATTTTTATTTATATAGTTTATTTATTGGAGGTGTATTAATAAACGATTAAAAACATAAGAGCTTCTATAATAATTGCTAAGAATTTGTTTATAGTATGTCCTTTCCATGACCATGAATGTCCCATTCATGGGCACGCCGTCATGAATGGGATATATTATCTTCAGAATTTATAAATTTGACTTTAATGCTACAATGTTTCGAAAAGATATTGTTTTTGGTTTATAAGTATTTTGAAAGATGAATTAATAAAGTTACGTTATATACAAATGATATTTTATTATACCTCATTTATTGCTCAAAATCCTACACTAAAAAAATTGACCCAATTCATGGCACCTTTCTCATAATACTCGACCAGTAGAGCAGTCTTAGCTAGAAATATGGCCGACTGTACCTCAAATGTCGGCTCTACATATTAGTATGCCAAACTACATATACTCAGTTAGCTTCCGCCAGTTATGTTTTAACGTTTAGTATAGAGTTCTCAGGGATGAGATATTTCCTAAATGTTGACCCGCAAAACTAGCTATCAACATCATCATATCAAATTTCATCAAAATCTGTCCAGTGGTTTTCTTGTGATGCGTTCCCAGATAAACACAAAAATTCTAAAATCTATAGATTCGGCCTCAGTATCCGTACTAATCCGTATTATTAATATTATAAATTTGAAAGGTTGTGAGTATGTATGGATGTTTGTTACTCTTTCACGCCAGAACAGCTTAATGGATCTGGATAAAATTTGGCAAACACATAAAATTTATCAACATTACAAACCAAAATGTTGATGAAGTATATATTTTTTTCATTTCATTTAAGCTATGTAAGGTTTTTGAATAAATTGAGAAACAAATACAGAATAAATAATTGTAAGAAATATCAAAAGTAATTGTAATGTCAAATTGTTCATTTATTATTTATATCAGATTGCGGTAAGCTTAGCCTGAGTCGAAAGCTACTAATAAATATGCTAATGATGCCATTTCTCAAAGATTTATGTAGATTTTAAAGAATGTCAGCGAAAGTAACTACCTAATAAATAATTAAAAGGAGCCTTTGAAAATTTCTTATTTCTGTATTTACAAAACAACATGTTATACATATGTATATTATTAACATAGTACGTAGTTATAATTGCTTGCTGCATTCGAATTCTATGACGTATATTTTTAATTATTCTGCTTAGTTTATACAAATTACTTGCCAATATTGAGAAGTGATTCAGTTGTACCTATCAGTGCTGTAGCAATTCTAATATATTTTTCTTAATTAAACAAATGCTTCAATGAAACAATATCCCCAATAGAATTATCACCCAATCAGTATCTAAATTGAATCGTGATTTTCTCTTTAACGATACATCAAAGTCGGCTTTGATCGAATGTTTGTGAGCGCAGTACGCATCGCTAGACAACCCTATTTGAATCCTTAATAATGTGATGTTAAATATTTCATAAGAAGCCTTTTATATATTTTAAAATACTTTTTAATATTCAATTCCTTTTTTTTATTTATTGGCTTCAAAATTAAAGAGAATAAATAACATAATGCCTAATAACAAGTCAATCTCGGATCACATGCAATGAATGATACGATGACATTATATGGGTAAATGTATTTTTCCAATATTAAAAAAAGTGTAGGTTTCTACAGCCTAATTATTGGTATATAGGAAGTTCGACCCTTACTCCATCTCACATAAAATATATTTTTGTTTATCATATTTAAATGACAAATTGTGAAATTCCTATAGTTATAATTTATATGTCTCACTCTCGCTTGGCTTGGGTTCGTCCCTACTTACGTTTTAACGTTTATTTGTCAGAGATGAGATATTTTCCCGCAGTAAAAAGTATCATATACATTGACCCGCATAATGAGCTATCTCATACCAAATTTCATCAAAATCCCTACAGTGATTTTTCTGCGATGCGGTCACAGACAGAGAGACAAGAATTCTAAAAACTATATTTCAATAGGATTTTCCAAAAAATATTTAATATACAGATTCGACTCAGAATTTAATAATATGTATAGATGTTATTTACCTTTTGAAAATAATGGTAAATATTTCTTTATCAAAGCGTCATGTTCATTTTTGCTAATTTATATTCATGCAGAGGAAAATAGATCTACAGAACCTCAGCTGTGATTTACTTATCGGCTTTTTATGCATTCCCAAATGAATTTTAAAATGTCAGAAGCAAGCGCTCGCCCGACCGTCATTTTGCATACAAGAGTACATTTTCCAGAGAGCCGTATAAATCCCATCGCTAACCGTAACTTTATTTCAATATATTTTCTAACGTCACAGATTTTATACACGATGTATTGAACCTTATATCGAACAAATATGAGAAATATTAATATTAAAAAATAATTTCATTATTTTTTTTAAATCTTAGAAGTTATAAGGTTTTATTGTTATGTTAGATTTGTTGTTCGTAAAATTTTTAATAGGAAAATGTTCAAATTTTGAAGTAACGCAAAAGGCTAATAAAATATGTAATAGTCTAAATATCAATAATTTTATAACAAGCGATCTAAAATGGCTTCGCCCTTATATAAAAGAACACATATGTACCTATACCATATGTATGTATGCACCTGAATTACTTATCAACTGGCAGGTCATGTCGTATTCAAGCTAAAAATATCAGACGACTTGCGCGCCACCATCGTATAGTGATGGTAACTATATGAGAACATTCGCTATCGAAAACCTAGCATCTACCAAAAATAAAAGCCTCATTCATCCAAATTGATTAAATAAGATGGAGTGTATACGTTACATAATTATTTCTGTACTAGCATTGCCCGCGGCTCCGCCCGCGTTCAGATGACCAGAAACCAAATACTTAGGTTTTCCATATTAGTATACTCTTACATTGCAGTTTTTGTATTTTTTCTCAAAAATGAAACATTCTCCCGCGGTAAAAAGTATCCTATATGTTGACCCGGATAACCAGCTACAACCATACCAAATTTCATCGAAATCCCTCCAGTGGATTTTCCGTGATGCGGTAACAGACAGACAGACAGACA